AGTTTTTGTATGAAAACCTTTTTCCTTGGCTATAGAAGACCAAAAAGGTAAGCAATGTTTTATAATAACAGATTAAATTGCTTAACAAGGCTGAAATATATTCGAACCGCTCAAGCAAACATAAAAAGAATTTCTTAATTAAATATTATAAAAATATTAATAAACAAATCCCAGCAGTTACTAAAATAAAGAATGAACCAAAGTAGACACAGGAATGGATGCGGCTATAGCAGCAGAAAAAGGAATTTCGGCTCTTTTAGTTATTGAAACTAAATAATAAACCAATTACTATTCATTTTAAATCACTTTGAATGATTTCTAAATATTAAATATAGTCTCAACTTCCATAATTTAATATGCATGCAATTGCTAATAATAAAGCAATATCTCCAATTCGATTAGATAAAGCTGTTAATAAACCAGCATTAGAAGATTTAGTATTTTGACAATAAATTAAATTATAATTACTTACAATATATTACTAATAAGAAACTAAAACTAATCCATTTCAATCTAATAAAATTAGAATTTAATTAGGACTAATAATAAATAATATTGGGGCAGCAAAGAGTCGCTCTTAATATCATTTTCTCGAAACAGAATAATCGACCAAAAAATAAATAGAAAAATTCTCCAAATATGTGCTCAAAAACTGCAAGTTCTCAAATTTCGACCCATACACATACATAGTTTGTATATAAGTGTAGGTATTGTTGTTGTTACCCGCCCGAAGAATGTTTAAGCTTCCACCAATGTTTATTTTTGCAGCTGAAATCAGCGGTCGCCACAATGTGCTCAATGATTGGCTACGGTTTGTGTTATTAGCGGCTTTGCTTGTTGAAAAAGCACAGCTGTCAGCGAATTCTTGGACCCATCCTTAAACGCTGACTGACTGATGCCAAGCGTTCAAATTCCTAATGAAATCGGGGGAGTTATAGGCAATGCTCAATGCTATTCTAAACTCGACTGCCAAGATATGATTCATTAAATTCATTTGCAGTTTGCTGATTCATAATACACAGATATGTGCAAAGAATCAAATATTGGCACATACAAGATTCACGTATATTGGTTGTGGAATTTCCAAGCTTCGAGAACTCAAAGCTCAATAATACAGGGGCACAAAAATAAAAATAAAAGTGAAAACACTAGGCTTTACTATTAAGAAGTAGAAACTTCACATTTTCAATATAATTTCTTTTAAAAATATATTAAAAACACGCGCACAACTAACTTCTAGTGTAGGTTCTATAGCAAGTGCAGACTGACAAAGGTATTGTACGCATAGAAAATCAATTATTCGAACAAATTTACAACTATAGCTGACGGCGAGTAAATCGCATTTGCTCAAAACTACATGCAGGTCTGCATATAACATCTATGAACTACGAGTATATGTCGGCCAATTTATATAGCAAACAAATGCCTAATTCTGGCTTTATCTGGGACCCGCTCAGGTTCTAAAACCGGCAGCCATGCACACGCATACCAACATACTCGAACAAATTTACATAGGGGCCAACGTGTTGGAAATACAAATATATCTCTAGATTTGTTACACTACACGATACTATAGTATACGGCCGTCACAGTTAATTTCCCTTTGTCTCATACATATGTATATACTCTATGTTATACATACATGCATACAGAGGTAAGCAAACGTATGTATTTTTTACCAGCTGAATTGCACAATATACTACATGTATTGTTGCTTTCTCGAGCGTTCAGGTTTTAGCCGGGCCGGCCATTGTTGAAAGCCCAATCAACAACGGGCTGCGAACTCAAAGGCGGTTGTTGTTTTCAGTTCGGCCGCCGAGCTTATTTTATTTTATTTACCTTCCACGACAAGTGTGCTGTGCATGTACACACAAATATTTGTGTTTAAAAGCGCTTAAAATTTCATGAATTGTTGTTAATTTTTTATTAAATGAACCTAATTGTGCATTGAGAAATTAGTCACACTGCCGCATAATTATTAATAAACAACAACGCGTAATGGCTGCGAGGGCAGATCGATAGATTTAGGGGAAGACTTTGGGGTTACTAAGGGATTTCCAAAGTTATGTAAGTTAGTTAGCAGGCAGCACTTCTCCCATCAAACTAAACCAGGCATAAGTTTAATTAATATTTTAAAAGCTCTGTGCCCTAATTGGTATTATAAATCTTGTTTGGAATAAGATATTCAAAATATGTAAAAAGTGAATTCGTTTGAAATAAATAGATGATCAGCATACGATATTTGGCGTAAAGAACTCTATATAGCAATTTTATCTCTATTTTATTGCCACCAACGAAAAATAGACGCATTAGAACATACTCCCCGAAGTATTGAAATTCCGAGTTACAATGCTTGCCCAAAAGACTTACAGAAAACCACTCAGAATGAAGAAAAAATCCATCAAATGGACTGTATCTGCTTTATTAAAAATTATTTGTCAACTTAAATTGCAGCCATTAAAAGGTTCATACAAGATCAGAACGAAATTAATTTTGTTCTAAAATATTTACTTTTTATTCGCTTAAATATATGTCTGTTTTATGGCCCAGAAAATACCAATTACTTTAATTTAGATTAGGAATAACTTAAGAATCAGTAGAAATGTTTTAATTACTAAAAGCAATCAATCAGTTATTCATTCTTAACTCTAGCATTCCCTTTTATTTAATACAAATGAAGTGTAGAATTTTTATGAAAAAAAAAAAAACGCTACTAAAAAGTTATCACTCTTGTGTTTATCGTTCGTTGCCTATAGGATTAGTTTTAATTTATAGTTTGTACCACTAAATAGTAGATATACTTTACGACAACCTCTATTTTTTATGCAATCAAAATTCTTTGCAAGCTATAATTCGATCAAGTATTGAAAAACAATGCTCAACCTAACCAAGTGTGTTTTAAGAAAAATTATAAACACTAATTTTATATACAGTATATCTAGAATACATAACATACTGGTTTGTCCACCTCCATACCTATGTTTAGTTCAACTTAATTGCAAATCTGAATTAATTCTACCAGTTGCTTATACTCTCATATTTAATGTCTGTACAATATATATTATGTATGTGTGTGCAACAACACAATCAATCGTTCATGTATGTGTGTATCCAAAACAAAATCCAGCGCAACAAGTTTTTGTTTCTGTAGCTTTTTCGGTTTTCATTTTCGCACATTTGAGTTGTTATTTTTATGTATTTGTTTACTGAGTATATATCATTTATTTATTTATGTCTCTGGGTTTTCGTTCGCTATATCTCCTGAGGTCTCAGAGTCCGTCACACTTTGTGATTCACTGCCGAACGTTAAAATGCAGCGAGTGTAACCAAACACAAAGCCTCAACATGTTTTTAAATCAAATACTAGACGAGACTTACGAGTACGTACTCGCATATTATTTACATACGTATTGATGAACGTGAGTAATAATATTTTAAAAAGCTACTAAATATATTTTAGGGTGTGCTGCTTTTGCATCAGCCCAGGTGGATCTACATGCATAGATATTTATATTTACTTTGTTTAATATTTAAGGTACATCGCCTGACCGATTTTTGTAAGGTTTCGTGCAAGGGAACACAACAATTTTTAATTTTGCATTGTTGTTGCTGTTGTCGTTGTGAAATAAATTGTGGCGCGCAGTTTCCAAGTGCGTGAATTGAATTTATTTCTAAAGCGGTGACTCAGTTGATACAAATTAGAGGACACTCGCGGAGGAATAATTTCTGACTAGGGTTATTTAAAAATACTCGCGTTATCTCAATACATACATAGTACATATACTATATAAAACAGTGATTGGTGATTGACGCACAACTCAAACGAAAAGAACTATGAAGCTGAACTCACAAGATTCCTTGAAATGGGGAAACAGGTTCCAAACTAAATTTTAAACTCAATTCATTTAAAACTTGGTTTGTGTAGTCTAAGAAGGAATACAAAATAAACTGCATTCGGTGTTTTGTTTTTCTTCGTTTTTTTCTCACATGTGGCAATGTTTTCATCAATTGCGCCAGCACGCTATGAAATTTTGCTTAAAATCAGAATGCAGCGCATAATGTCTGCGATTTCGGAGCTACATACATATTTAGCTGCGTAGCCAAAATAATCGTTAACATGAGGTGTATAATAACCAATGCCTTGGACTGGAAAGCTTCTTTGCTGTTGCTGGGGCTGCTGTTGAAAGTTGATACGAAAACCAAAACAGTAACTCACATATGAATTTCAAAACCAAGTTTACTTTGCCATGCACTTGTTTGTTCGGATACCTATACCCAACCACACAGAGGAGGAGGGAGATCTATGGCTCTGCTACTTTATTGAGGACGGCTCAAATCAAACATTCAAACTGGAAACACAAATAAACGCACAAGAGCACAGAAATTGATTGTATCTGACGTGACCAGCAGGCCAGCAGTCAGCCAGCAGCTAAAGGCCGGAGATTTATCTGAAGATACATAGCGTTGTTGTAGTGCCTGTTGTTTTGGATCTGGTTTTTTTTTCCGCCTGCTGCTGCTAAAGCGAAACTTTCAATGATGATGTCACTACCTCACACACACACAGAGGCACAGACAATAACACACAGCTCGTTCAAGTGCGCAGACATTATGTATTTTGCTCAGGAAAGTCCCTAGTGACAAAATAAATTTTATTTACATGAGTACACGAAGCACGTAAATAAGTAATGTTCGTATAGTATATAAGTACAGTTAGAAGTGCTGGCTAAACAATTGTTCCCACGACAATACGAAGCCCAAAAATGATGAAGTTTTAGTGTCAAGTTGCAATGTCAGTTGCTTGGCAACTTTTGGCGCCATTGTCGAATGGCTTCTATACGCTGTTTCGAAATGAACTCTCTGGATATATCATCATCTGTATATTCTATTAGCAACTGCATCGCATTTGGCTATAACTTGTAACTTATATGACACTTATAGACTCCTATGGTTATCTAAAGCTATTAGCGTTACTTGTAAATTGGCTTTTTTTTTCTACTTACCGACACCAGGGTATTAAATATGAAGAGTATATACTTGGCCACCGATGTTCCGCAATCCATTTTGAAGCTTTTAAGGTTGGTGAAATATATTTACGAAATACCTCACTGTAGGGATGAAAAAGAGTGAGGAAAAAAATAAACATAAGCAATTGTGAAATATTGGAAATTTGCATCTCGTTTCATTTCACATTTATGCAAATTGGATAATGTGTTGATAAACAGCAATAGAAATGCATTAACATATTAAACGATTTCAGACACATCAGTTATGTAAGCGGACATTCATGCATTGGCATACGTATTTATTTTAATTTGTTTGTTTTAAACTGATCAAACGCTTGAGTGGAACGTTTCAAAATTAATAACCCGCTCATAACTCGTAAATTTTTAAGCTTCTCTCTCATATATGTATGTATGAGTATGTATAGGTAATTTTAAAATGGCTGTTCTGGTTCGCCTCAATGGCATTTCCTTATTCGTCATTCCATTGAAGTCGCGCGAGCTTGAACTGAAAAGTCTGACCGCTGATCTCAACAATTGTATAATTAGCGTTTTATATTACACTTATTATTTTTAATACACTAAACATTTTTTTAATGCTGGGCCAGTTTGGAACTATAAAAATTCATATAAAAAAATCTTTAGTTTTTATTTGCGTGACTGTCGGTAATATTGTTATTTTTTTTACGCCCAACAATAGAGGCTGCAATTGAAAGGAATGTTGGCAATGATACATTCATATGCATTTATGTACACACATACATACATAGTATGTACATATGTAGATGTATTTACAGTTTTATCGCTTCTGCTTCTTAAATATGCATGCATGTACATACATACATATGTATACTTTCGGGCTATTTTCAAGCATCGGCAGTGCGTGCATTGACACTTGTTTGCCACCCATTCCTTGCCTTTGTCATCGTCAAGGCAACAATAACAAAAACAAAAGATTGCCACTACGGCAGCTGCGTTTTATGCAATAGCTACAACAACGACCAAGAGTCATTGAAGCCAGCATTTTTTGTTCTTTAGTGAAAATTTACAAGAGGAAAAGTTCACTGCACTCGGTACTAGGCACACACACAAACACACAACAACGGCGACGACGCATTGTTATTTTAATTTTACACAATTTTCTTCCGTTTTTCACACAAGTTGTTGTCTTGTCTTTCTGATTTAAGTGCGTCGTTGCCCGTGTGCTTTTCGCTCACATTCACACACACACTCATTCCTCTTTGCTTTTGCACTTCATTCACAGTTTCCGAGCACTTTGACATGTCCGCTTCGGGCAGCTGCAGCATTACGGATCATAGATGCGTAAGCCAAATGTTAATCATTTTTACGCATCCCAAAAACGTGGAAATCCAGCATAAATTATTTTTGTTTGAAGCAAACTCGCAACAATTATTTCTTTTACCTTTTTGCCTTTTTTAATATAACGCGCAAATTAAAGTCGTCGTTCTAAAACAGCGCGCTCAACACAACCGTTCAGTCGAAGATGAAAACGAGTTTTGACTTTGCTGCCCACCAAGATGTCAAAATTCGTTTACCCACTCTACCTGGGACTCTGCGTTTTATATTACACTTATTATTTTTAATACACTAAACATTTTTTTAATGCTGGGCCAGTTTGGAACTATAAAAATTCATATAAAAAAATCTTTAGTTTTTATTTGCGTGACTGTCGGTAATATTGTTATTTTTTTTACGCCCAACAATAGAGGCTGCAATTGAAAGGAATGTTGGCAATGATACATTCATATGCATTTATGTACACACATACATACATAGTATGTACATATGTAGATGTATTTACAGTTTTATCGCTTCTGCTTCTTAAATATGCATGCATGTACATACATACATATGTATACTTTCGGGCTATTTTCAAGCATCGGCAGTGCGTGCATTGACACTTGTTTGCCACCCATTCCTTGCCTTTGTCATCGTCAAGGCAACAATAACAAAAACAAAAGATTGCCACTACGGCAGCTGCGTTTTATGCAATAGCTACAACAACGACCAAGAGTCATTGAAGCCAGCATTTTTTGTTCTTTAGTGAAAATTTACAAGAGGAAAAGTTCACTGCACTCGGTACTAGGCACACACACAAACACACAACAACGGCGACGACGCATTGTTATTTTAATTTTACACAATTTTCTTCCGTTTTTCACACAAGTTGTTGTCTTGTCTTTCTGATTTAAGTGCGTCGTTGCCCGTGTGCTTTTCGCTCACATTCACACACACACTCATTCCTCTTTGCTTTTGCACTTCATTCACAGTTTCCGAGCACTTTGACATGTCCGCTTCGGGCAGCTGCAGCATTACGGATCATAGATGCGTAAGCCAAATGTTAATCATTTTTACGCATCCCAAAAACGTGGAAATCCAGCATAAATTATTTTTGTTTGAAGCAAACTCGCAACAATTATTTCTTTTACCTTTTTGCCTTTTTTAATATAACGCGCAAATTAAAGTCGTCGTTCTAAAACAGCGCGCTCAACACAACCGTTCAGTCGAAGATGAAAACGAGTTTTGACTTTGCTGCCCACCAAGATGTCAAAATTCGTTTACCCACTCTACCTGGGACTCTGCGCTCTCTTTCCCGCTCTCTTGCTTATAGGTAAATTAACGCACGCGTTGCCACTAATGGTGTATTTATTTCTTCTGTCACAAAAACCCACCACTCCTTAATAACCAAGAGTGGCATCACTGCTGGAATTCTCGATCTATTGGCAACACAGCACAATTACTTAAAGCTAAACAAGCAAATTTTGCAAAAGCACATTTATTTTTTCAGGTAACAGGGGGTTTCCCAAAAATAGTCGGATTGTTATAATTGTATGTATGTATGTAAGAATTACATTTTATAAATGAGAGCTTTAAAATACAATAACTAACATTTCAAGCAAATTAATTATTATTAAGCAGACCTGGAGAGTTAACAAACGTTGATAGCGTTTTTTTTCAAAATCCGGCTCATTATCTACGTTGTACAGGCAGCATTAAAAGTTAGAACGTCTTCCATTGTTTCGAATTTGATTAGCCAAGCAGCAGGCGAATATAAATGCAGTTAACTGGAAAATAATTTAAATTAGTGGTAAAGTTTTTTCTTTTAAACACTTCAAGAGTACCTCAATGGCAGCCACACCAAGCCCTGCATATTTAATAATACTGACGTTCTTATCCCAGAAACTTTCAACAGCGCTTTTACAACCAGGAGTTAATAGCACCTGACTCACATTGCAGCTGGATCCTGTACTATCGCAACAAGAAGCAGGCAGCGTCATAGAACCGTAGTCAGTGAACTTATAGTAGCCGCAGCACTTAAACTAAAAAGTAAAATAATAATTAGTTGTTTGAACTATAATGCTTAAACCATCACTTACACTTCTCTGCATTGCATCCAGAACAGGTTGATCCACTGCACGCTGCTCCCAAACCTTGTATACAACTTTATCGATAGAGTCAATTATTTGCGGGCGCTGTACCCAAACATAGACAATTACGGCGATTTGACACAAAAACAAGCCCAGCATAAAGATGGAGTACTGCAATAAAAATATAATTATTAAGTACAATTATCTTCTGAACTGTTACATTTACTGAACTTACCATCGATAGGCTGCAGTTGTTTTCGCGAATCGCACCGCAGCAGCCAAGGAAGGAAATGACAAATATCATGCAGCCCAGCACCAGCAAAACAATAGCGACACTATTTGTATTGAAAGCTTGTTCCACGTTCGAGAAATCACTCATCTTGGACACCATAATGGAGCCCAAGACAATGATTAAAATACCACATATCTGTAAATAATTTAAATTTATTAAGCGATTCAGTTTTGTAAATAACAATAATACAATAATAATAAATAGGTAAAAAATAAATAGTAGCTTCTTTAAATGGAATTTCTCCTCTTTCCTTATTAATTTCCGGATTTTTAAATAAACTGAACTGAGCTAAGGCCTAAGCTTTCTTTATCGATGGTGGAGCTTCCCATGACGACCAAGCTTGACGGTTGTTTCTATAACATATTACTCTCTTTCATAATTTAACTATTCACCGTTTGAACGCTCCAATAATTACTTATTCCTGCCTAATTTGTTCTACTGCTTAAATCTTCACATTCTCCTGGGCCCAGAAAATATGTCTAATTTCGTGCTCAACAATTTTTATAATTTTGGATGTAAGGCACTACTTTGGCCATTCTAAAGTGGTGTTAAGTAAAAGCTACTATATCTGTTCTCCTCTAATTATTTGAAAACCCAATGGCGTCCAGTTTTCAGATAGAGATATAAGTCTATTATTTCTCCTACTTAACATGTTAACGAAATATTTGACTCTCCAGTTTTATGTTTTATTTTTCTTTTTTTTTTTATTAATAGTCCAAAGAGCATTGCTCAAGTCTTATATCCCAACCCTTCCATGTTACTTCTTCTATGTATAAGGGTATTTTGTTGCCTTTAATTAATAAGTTAGCAGTTCTTTGTTAACTATAAATAAATAAATAAATATATTGTCATGTTGTTCGTACTTAGACACTCGTCATAATTTTGGTCGGCAGAATGATCTGAGCTGCATCCAATATTCGTTGTCTGTTTAACCACCACAATATAAGTTCACTTATGCATTTGAAAATGTATATACTACAGCCGAACATTTATCAGTATATTTCGATTAAAAATTACACCTAAACATTATATCTCTACTTGATCTCATTAGGCACTAGCACTAAACTTCTCCACACTTCTCTAATATGTCCCGTGTTGGAATACTGTGGGTGCGTTTGGTGTTCGTTGCATAAGCCCCTCAGGGTCGTATTGAGTCGGCTTAGGAACAATTTCCCCTTTTTGCTTTTCTTGGCTTAAATTGGGATGTCAACAAGCCTGATGAAACTTTGTGCAACTACTTATACATACAATATTATTAAAAGCTTGTATTATTATTTGTCTGTATTGACTTAAGAGTTGAACTCGCAAGACTCTATTCTTGTTTGCTTTTATGTTAGGATGAAAATATTTAAACAACATATACAGATTTAAATGATACTAATATATGTATAAATAATGCATTTCATTTATACAGTGAAAACTCTCTTGGTCAGCCGATTTTTGTCCGTTCAAGGGCATACTTAAATACTTCATTCACCGATCGAATGTTTTAGAAAAAGTGTCCGTCGAAGAGTGTCCGGATAAAAGAGATCTTCATTAAGGGAGTTTTCACTGTATTGAGCTCAGTTTGTGAACTAATTCTCTCCCTCTTGCCCACTAGAAATAATGTCAAATCCATAGCAATGCGATATTTGTCAGAAGAATCGCCCTTTTTGCAAGCGAAAATAATGAATCATTTATTTACTATATACTACATATACATATGTATGTATGTACACAGAAACGCAATCACCGAAAGGCAAATTAAGAGGCAGATAGATACTTGTACATACATATGTATGTGTGTAGAATTCTTTATGAGTAATCACTGTCGTGAAACCAAAAATCGAAATGACTTTAATGAGTAACTACTTTTGGAAAACACCCGCAAAACATTTTCTCTAATTAAATGGGAGTTCAATTCGTGGAAGCTATGCTGTATTTCCTTAGAGAGCTTTGCTTCAGACGTAAGTTATCTAGTATTGCAACATATGCTCATTAGCAACAATTACGCTCAATATTTGCGTTTGGCATTCAATATTATATTAGCTGCGATATATGATAGGTTTTTTTTTCACAAGATAAGATAAATTAAATTTTTCTTTCCAGTGCTTGCACACATACTGCATAGGCCGTGTTTTTCATTTTTTCATATGATTCTGTCGCCCCATTACCCAAAGGTATTGCGTTCTCTTTGAAGATAAGATATATAGTATATGTACATGTGAGTACTATACACTACTATGTAACTCATATCATCATTTATATATACATACATACATAGTAAGCTTTATATACGATATTTCTAGTCTTTACTGAATTCACCTTATTCGCGAGTACACACTCGAAAGTCAAGCTATATTCTATATTTACTCAGTGATAACCAGACTAGCTGAGTAATTAATACTCGTAGAATAAGTACAAAGCACTCACCACAAACAAAATATTAAATATAAAGAGCACATATTTTACAAGTACTCCGCCGCAGTCCATTTTTCCAATTTATTTTTATCCAAATCACCTAGGAAGCTTCCACGAAAGCGCGACGTTACTTCACCGAGTTCGACGATAAACTGAATTCTGATTAGAGGGCTCAAAAGCCACTAAATGCGAATTTTCTGAACGAATCGTTATCAGAGCACCAGATGAAGTCCACTATGAAAAATGTATTGCATGCTTTCCGGTGTTTGTTATGACAACAGGTTGCTTCTTGCTTCTTCCATTTACACAGAAACCTGAATTTTAAAGATTACTCAGGGGGCATAAAAATGAAGCTTCTGAAACAAACGAATGCGTCCCCATTAACTCCGGGAAGCCTCTTTTTTAAACTGGAGATAAACAAATATGCCGAGTCCGCGCTCAAGAGCCTTTTTTTTCTATCCACCCTCGTTTGGAGATTGTAGCCGCAGTGTATTTGGATATCGTTTGATTTCTAGTTGGTTTTATTATTATATTTTATAAATATCTAAATAAGTTTCCAAACGTTGCTGTCGTAGAATAGATTGCAAACACCTTCTGATTTGCGATTATAATAATACAGAATACATTTATTTGTACAAATCAGCTTTTAATTCAATTTCATAAGCTTTTTCTAGTTTATTTCCATTTCTGAACTGGATTTGTTTCCAACAGTAAAAAGTTAGCATCTTCTGCTCCTGCTTTGTTTTTTTCTCATGAAAATATACTTTTTTAACCGTATATTTCTAACCTGTCAATACATCTTTTTTCGGCCCCAACGTTAGTAATATCTGATTTGATTGGCCAAACAAAAGGCGAATATAAATGCGGTTAGCTGTGAAAAAATAAGTTTTCAAACAATCATTATTATTTTCCGAGAAACTTGAAATAGCTCAACCTGCATACCTCAACGACAGCCACACCAAGGCCCGCATATTTAATAACAGGAATATAAGTTTCCCAGAAATTGGACAAAGCGGTTTTACAGCCAGGAACGCCTATCACCTGATTCACATCGCATCTGGTGACTGACAAATTGCAACAAGACTTAGGCAGTAGAGAGGAATTGTAGTCCTTAAAGTCATTAAATCCACAGCATTCGAGCTAAAAAATGTAACATTCGAGTAAAGAAGTTATACGTTAAATAGAAATCTCCACTTACAGTTTTCTGGATTGCATATAAAAAACGTTTTTCCTCACGGCGATGCTCCCAAATTTGTTGCAAAACATTTGCAAAGTATGTTATTATATATGTCTGTTCTTTCCAAACGTAGACTATCACAGAAGCTTGACACAAGAACAAAGCCAGCATAAAGATGGAGTACTGGAGTGAATGACATGATTTAGAGATAGATTTGCATTTTGCTTCTTGTATTAATTTATTTACCGTGATGATGCTGCATTTATTTTCACGAATGGCACCCCAACATCCTAGGAAAGATATTAAGAAGATTATGCAGCCCACCACTACCAGGAAAATAAATACACCACGACCATCAAATGTTTGTGCCAAGTCCGAGAAGATGCTTATTTTCGATATAAGAGTGGATCCGAAAACAATAATTAAAATACCACATATCTAAAAATTAGTTAAAATAAAGTTATGAAAAACTAATAATAACATTATCGCATGGGTACCTTGTTTAAATTAACTAATACAATAAAAACATAGCAGAATTTTGGAAAAGATTTCCAAACTCAGTAGCTTTATTTTTTACTTATTGACTAAAATTGAGTTAATATTCTATAATGGTTCTAGATTAGGACTCTTGCTCCAAAAAGAAACACAATACTCACCAAACACAATGTGTTAAATATATAAAGAACGTATTTAACAAATACTGCGCCGCAATCCATTTTGGTTTTAAATATATATAGTACTTATATATATAAGAAGCGCTCTACTTTACTTCACCGGGTTAGTTTTGTAACTGTTCTTTATTGCAATATCAACGAAGGTTTTAGCTTCCAAAAATATTATGCGGGCTATTTGAAATGAATTGCACTGAAAACCAAATAGCATCCCATTCCACTTTTACATTGTTTTAACTAAGAAACGTAATTTCTTTTAATAAACATAATTGACCAGTTGAATCATTTGGTAATATATATAATTCTCTTTGTTTATGACAACTTTTTAACTTTGAGGAAGCAAAGAATCTAACAATTTTTTTTTTAGAATTATCTATGCATTTTCACCATGCTTTAAAAAATTTTAATTTTTATTAATTCTCTCAAAGTTTAATTAATACTTTTGAGTCATACCTCATAACTTAACTAAGAATCATTATTAAAAAAAAAATTGAACTCATAAAATAATGATTAATTTTTTAATTATATTTTTTTGATCATAAATAAAACTCAAGCTGTAACTTTACCTGGAATGGAAAAAAAATAATCATTATTGTGGAATTTTTATATCACTTATAATGATTCCATTTCCATGAATTTCACAGAAGATTTTGACTACTTTTTTAAGATATACCATAAGATATTACACCAAATGAAACGTTTGCCGAACTTAAAACAGAACTTTACATTTTCTTTTTGTTCGATCATCATCTTTGTTAATTCTTCTGCGATAACTCGGCTTCTATCTATTCAATTGTCATGAAATTTTGACGTGATGTTGATAGCACATTATGTTCCATTATTTCACCCATAAATTTAGTGAAATCAAAAGTAAATCTCAAACAGCAATCAGGCATACTCTAATCTAATTTGATTGTCGAAACCTTTTTTAGGCCAAAAAGACACTACAATAATTTATACTTAACGATAATAAGACTCAATTCAGAGTCAGCAGAGAAATAAAATCGAATCACTTCTGAAGAGTTTTAGAATAAACTATTGAGAGGTAAAAAATAGATCAGATTAACTATTATATTACGAAGTCATAGCTTCGAAATTAATCAGTGTATACTAAAACAGCTGCAGTGTTTAGTTCCTTAGGGGCTCATACATATGTACATATGTATGTACGTATGTATGTACGTATGTGTGTATATGAATGAGTAATCATTTCATGCTTAGGTGTAATTACGAATTAAACGTAATTATATCATACTATAATAAAAAAATAATAATTTTTATTTAACGTTTAGTCCTAAATAAACTAAAACAATACGCTTATTCCAATATTCCATGTTTGAATGATTTATTAACATTAACAACAAAATTGTCCATCATCATTATTTGCAAAGGCGCTTTACGATTTAGATGGAATGTCCTCCCGATCGTCGCATGCTCCTTGTGAGGCAAGACGCCACCACGAACACAAACAGCTCGAATATGCAGATTCCGATTCCTGCCCATCGCATGATGTCCGTGTTCGACTCCCAGAAGTTGACAAAATTTTGATTGCATCCCTCGCGGGTCATGTAAATGCTGGCCGGACAAGTTTTTGTACGGTCTGTGTAGCCGCAGCACGTTCCGGGAACTGTTCCGTAATAGTAATCCTCATAACCGCTGTTGCCGCAGCAATTGAACTATAGCAAGCATATTATTCAAATGTTAGTATTAAACAATTTATTAAATATCAGGCTGAACTTACAGCCAACTCGAAGGCCTCAATCGGGTAACCCTGAGCGCTGGTGTTCTCCGACCAGGCCGTATTCACCAGTTTACTCATATCTTGCAGGAACGCCGCGCGATTTACAAAGATCCAAATCGTAAGCGTCAATTGAAGTATAAACAGTATGAGCATGAAAATGGCATACTATACAAGTAGAAGAGAATGTGTGTTAAAATTTAGATTTCTACACATACAAGTTTAGTATGTATACTGTAAATGATATTCTACATACCGTGCCGGTTAGACAAGCACTCTGGCGCCAAGCACCGCAGCAACCGAAGAAGGATACTACAAATATTAAGACACCCAGAATGGTTATCATAATTGGAATTGTATTGGTGCTCATAAGCTGACTAAATCCATCGAATTGACTTATGTTGGAAAGCATAATGGAACCCAATACAATGAGCAGGATGCCAACAACCTATAGATAAGGGAAGAGTAAAACAAATAGATTCAGTTCTCAGTTCTCCTTCAAGTTTTTCAAAACATTATTTTAATATTTATTTTAAAGAGTAAAACAAATAGATTCAGTTCTCAGTTCTCCTTCAAGTTTTTCTAAACATTATTTTAATAATGCTTGGGCTTTTGAGGCTACATGCGCTAATCATGCATGATTCATTTTTATTTTAATTACGTTTAAGAAAACATGGATTTTGTTTTCAATTATAGCAATATTTTAATTTTGGTTAATGAGGTTGAGGGATCCGTAATTTAACAAACCTTTATCCAAAAGGTATTTATTTAAACATTATTGAAGCCTAATGGATATTGACAATGTTATTGTAATCAGTTTTTTTTTTTTTTTTTTTTTTTTTTTTTTTTTTTTTTTGAGTAGGGTACTCGACTGTAACATTCTCTCTAACTTTTATGTGGATACTGAAAACAAACTTGCGGCTTGGGGACAACATTTTTGGATATTTTGTTTTAATTAAGAATATTAAGCAATTTTGAGTTTTGCTTATTTTTATCAAAGCTGAAACGGGCTCAGTTCTGAATAACTTTTATCATTTCGATAGTTTTGTGAAAATCCAAACATTTCATTTAATTGAAAAAAAAAATCCAAATTGATTTGATCTTGAAAACTGAACCGCCTTTTTAAATATTTATATTTTACATCCAAAACTGTAGTCCACAGTAGTTTGTTTTTAGCACTTGAAGTTATCCATAAAGCTGCAAAATATTCCCGTAAATATTGAGATGCTGGGATACATAAACATATATATTCATAAATTATCCACATCCAGCATACATATGTATATGGTTTAATTTTTGATTTCTCGGCTCGGCTCATGCTACTCACCAAGAAGACAATATTGAGTAGATACATTATAAAATTAACAAATGATGCAAAGCAATTCATTTTGCGGCTGTTTTTTTATTACACACGGGACTATTGAATTTAAATATCAACTTTTTATTAATTTTTTTGGGCGACTTATTTCCTAGAATGGGAGCACTTCCAAAACTTGATATGATTATCACGCCTAATTAGCGAGCGCGTCGTTTACTTTCGTTCGATTAAACTGGGTCCGAGTGGTGTCAGTGCTTTTAAATGGACTGAAGGCTCCGTGATTTACCAGCAAATATCATATATGTACAATATCTTATCTATGGATAGCATTTAATAATATAAGCAAAACATATAGAAAATAACTTAATGCCTAGCAAAGGTAGATAACATACATAAGTATGCCCAACAGAAGGCACAGTTATATGTGTTCAAGTTAAACTATATATATAGATATAGATATATACATGGGTGAATGTACAATTCATACAAAGGCAAAAAATATTTGCGCTCCAAAGAGTGGTGCAAACGAACTGATATGATTCATTGATAGGGTAACACAATGAATCAACGCCATGCCAAAATGTCAATATATTTTTAACAATTTCATAATTGGCTTGGGTACAATTTATGCTATCTTTCCTTTTACTCTATTATATATATATATAAATATGTTTTGTTGGGTTGTCTGCAGGCGTTTTTGCACTTGAGATATGACGCCATGCCCGTTGTGGGCTTAGATGGAAATTCGATTGAACGAAAATAATGAAAATCTAAGTACAATATGATAAGATACTATTTGGCACGGGTAACCACACATGTATAGGTATGTTAGTAATTATATGTACTATATGCGATACGCCATAAATAACAGACAGCTTGTCAAAAAGCAAAAAATATCGGTGCGCCCTTTTTAAGCCAGCATGGCCTTCTATCCTACATATACATATAATAAGTATACTATATATTTGAATATGAGAAATGACAGCTACATACATTAACTATTCACTGAGTCGGCTGGGTTCGTAGTCAATCGATCAATAAATATGACTGGCGAATAAAGTGACATATTTGGTTCGCTCAGAGGTTCTCCACACAATGTGATTCATAGTTTGAGTTTCGTATTAGATTCCCCAACATCGAGAAATCCAAATTTTCCGGCAGCCCATAATTCGGATGTAGGTTCAAGGACGTGGTTTTAAGAGGTAGAGCAAGATAAAAGTATGGCACTAATATAAACCCGTTTATTTTCGAGTCGCAAACAGAACTCAATCTTAAATATCCTCTTCAAACTCCAAACTCTTCAAACTTCAACTCCTCTTCAATATTATAGTATTAATATTAGTGATAAACAATTTTAAATTCTTTATTGGTTCTTTCCGTATCGGCGAGATGCCCCTCTCTCCTTTAATATTGTAATATTAGTATTAGTAATAAACAATTTCAAATTATCCATTTGCTCTTTCCTGGCCTGAATTAAAAATACTTCTTCAAAACATTATTTTCGAATTTTTAAATTCAATTTCCAGCGTCAAATACAAATAAGTTTCCACAACTTGCTTTGCTTATTCACATCCGGAAAAAATGTTTTTTGTGCAACCATACTCTTCGCTCAACTTCCATTATTGTTTACGTAACTTAGCCATTACTATGCAACGTTAACTAACGATATATAGTAAGAATTATGGGTATAGTATATAAATTTTACGTTTTGTTAAAAAAACTACATCTGAGTAATTAATTCACATATGTTTTCATATTGTTCTAAAATTGTGCCACTCGTATTCAAGTTTGTAAACATTCAAATGAAAACGGAAAAACTGAAAAATATTGATATATATATTGGTGATATAGAGCCCCACCTTCTCTTTAATCTATTTACTATACATATGATTATGAATATAAAAACCTCTTGACGATGTCAGCAACTATGTGGAGAAAGGAAGACTGCGTGTCACAGAGATTGTGATATCAGAAAGTTTAACAATTTGTAATATCAATACTGTGTCGTATCAATTAATTGTATTTAGTCTGAACAACTAAGTTTAATCAAGCGTCGGCACTAATTGGACTGTCGTTCACAGCGATGTTTGTGTGTTTTAATCATAACTGCACGTTCCATGTTCAAAATCAAATCATAGGCGTTTTCATTAAACTAATTTTAATTTGATTTAATATGGCTGTGTGGGAGAAGAGCATTTCTACAAAAATGAAACTATTCGCTATTCGGGCTGGGACTGGGGCTCTGCCTGAGTCTGAGCCTGAGTTTAGCGCTTTCTCATCGCACTGGCCAAGCAGCAGGATACAATGAATATTCCCAGCTCGAAGAGAGCTATAAACAAACTGCTCCAGCTTATAATTTTTGTGTTGGAGCTCCAGAAATCCAGGAATTCCTGTTTGCATCCAGGGAGTTCGGCATATATGTCAACGGAACACGTTTTCGATCTGTCCGTATAGCCACAACAAGAAGCAGGCACTTCAGTAGTATAATCTAAGAAATTAGTTTTGCCACAACAGCCAAACTGTGAAATAAAACCAAATAGAAAGAGCAGCATACAAGTATAAGCGCGAGTAACTTACCGCCAACTGGAGAGCATCCATGGGATAACCATTGGTGCTATCGTTCTCATTCCAGACGGTATCGACAACATCGCCCATTTTGCCAATGAATTTGTCATTTTGCACAAATATCCAAATCGAGAGTGTGAGTTGCAATACAAATAGAATGAACATGCAAACAGCATACTGCAAAAAAAAAAAAGAAAACAGAACTTAATTATTTTACTTCGCAAGCAGCCAGCATTCGAAAACACTTACGATTGTCGTACAGCAGGAGTTTTCCCGAATGGTGCCGCAGCATCCGAAGAATGCCACCACAAATATAATCGAGCCAATTACGATTATAGAAACGGGTATGAACTGTGTGTCCACTGCCTGATCCAAGCTGCTGAAGCTTCCCATGCTGGACAGCATGATGGAGCCGACAATAATCAGCAGCAAGCCACCCGCCTGTTGTTAATTAATTATAAATAGTATTACATATTTGGAGTTTGTTAATCCACAAGTTCATTCGAAAAGGTCCTTCATTTCGCACAAAACTCACTCACCACAAAGATCACATTGAGAATGTACAATAAGTACTTAAACGTTGACGATAGGCAATTCATGTTGTATATAGTATTTAATTAATTTTCCTTTCCAGTATCTACAATATAGTTTCCGCTGAGAGCACTTTTCGTTTAATCCGTTCGTTTCGTTCGTTTTTTTCGAAGTGAATCGCCAATCTGATGGTTGGGCATTTAAATGAAATGGTCGGGCACGATTACTCGCCTATATACAAGTACAACCAGGTATATGCACATATTGTGGCTATTAAAACTTATCTCCAATGTACCCTCCACCAAGCAATAATAGGCAATAGTCGAGCTAAGCACATAGAGAGCTATGGAACTATGGTGCCTATGTACTAAGCGCTTATCAAGAGAACACTTTACAGACCTTATCAGATTCCAGTACCCATGAAAAGTTGTACGTAACTTTCAAGTTCATGAATTGCCGCTACTGCGCAAGCTATACGACAGATCTCTGACTCATATGTTGGAGACATATTTCTTTTATCTTACCAACAAGAAGCACCCAGGGGGGTTGTTGTTCGAATGATTCATCGTGTACCTGGTGTACCTGTTGCTATTTGACATTTAAATCAGTTTATGGTCGCCAATTGTTTTATAAATTATCAGTCAATCCGCTTTCAAGTAATCTTACAAACCGATCGAATACCAACCATACAAAATTTCTTTCCTATCTAAAGTGTGTCCGCATTTACACGAATGGTTTTTGTCACGAAAAATTGCGTTTGTTTGATTATGTTTTATTCTTTAAGGACGAGCAAGAGAAATACGTAGTCGGCTTAGGAGTTTTATCTAAATCTGAGCAGAAATCGTTAAATGCCAAGTCCAATTAATTAATTAAAGTCAGTTGTTAGCTTCGGAGCAGATAAAGATATTTACTTAGACAGTGCTAAAATAAAAAACCGTATAAACGCCGGCTTTCTTTGCAACAATGCTAAAACGATTACACTATACAACTAGGACTTTTTTCTTGTCCAAAAAAACTAGTTCTAAATTTTGAATATAATGTGGCGTAACCAGGCGTAATTAGTTTTCTGTTTCCTAGCACAAGCCATTTATCCCCTCGACACAATCCAACAACTTAAAAACTTAATTGTTTCAATGACGCCAATAAATACCTAATGAGAACCGAACATTTCTGAGAAACTTCAGAATAAAGTGTAGCATTATAACAAACTTATAAATACAAAATTGTTAACACAATTTTAATACGCAAGTAATTGGGGCATTTTTGCATCAAAAGTTAAAAACTTCAATTTAAAAATATTTCGTTTTTTAGCTTTAATAAAGATTTACATATACATGTAATAATAATAATCGTGTTCACTTTCAATTTTATGTAGTGTACAGTAATTATTAATTTCAAGCGGGTACGTCTAACAATCAGACAGAAAAGTAAATTGGACTTTCCTGGATACTATAAATAATACAAAAACTTGAACGTGTGGTAAGTCCCCAGCTTTATCAATTTGTGGTGCTGCTAATCAAAATAAAAGCTTAGGAAATCGCGAACGATTGAGTGTCGCTTAAAATACTAGTTTTTCTAACGAAATGCGATTGCAAAATTAAATAAATAAACTGACATGAAACACTGATAAGGATCAAGAATATGTGTAATTTTTAGCTCTGCTTAATATATCCATATATATCTCACTTTTTCTAACCAAAACGATTATTAGCTTCAGAGAAACGTTTGGTAGTACATCCGGCATTAAGTATGATTAAACGAATTCTCCCATAAAGATAAAGATAATGATAACGTGTTACTGTCGGTAGATTAGCGTAAACAAGTGGTTATGAAAGGCCATTGGAGACAAAAGTGGGTCATAATACGAGTATAGGAGTCGGTGAGAGAAAAACAGTTCGTATCTTACAAATGTTTATTTTAGTTAAACTATTATTTGCATGTATTTATAAATTATTGAAATGTACACATATATTTATTTTGTACAATAAACAATTAGCACAGTTCTCTAACATCAACGTAAAATATTGCAAATAAAAATTTGTCATGGCTTCTCGCAGTTATTGGTGTAAGTAGCAATTAAACAAATTTATGAATAATAATACAAATGTCAAAATATAAATGGCCATTTTAGCTTGTACATCGGTTAAATTCAATAAAAATAAAATTGGGCAACAGATTTCGTACTTTCGGTTTCAATTAAAATTAATAATGCGCGTTCTTAGATGAATACAATGGAGGGAAAGTGCTCTTTAATAGTCCGCACGACGTCGATAGTTTCGAATACTATTGGCCAGACAACAGGCAAAGACAAAGCCCACAAACTGAAATTTTATAAAAACGGATGAGTTTAGAGATATAATACGGGTAAATAATAATGTAACTCACCTCAATGGCCGCAATGACCAGACCAGTGTACTTGATGATGTCGCTGTTTCTATCCCAGAATTCCCTGAAGGCTTGCTTACAGCCGCGACGATAGACGGTCTCCACGCGGCAGTTGTTGGTGTCCTTGCAGCAAGAAGGCGGGAAGTAGCCTTGGAATTGATAGTCCGTGTATTGGTTGCGGCCGCAGCATTCCATCTAAACGGTTACAAATACAAAATATAACTTTAGTCCAATATCTCTGGGGTATATGTATAAAGGCAAGACTTACGCTAATCTGTATAGCATCCATGTAGTCGGCTTTGCGTGTTCTGCGATCCCACGCCTTCTCAACAACATCGTCCATAATCATTAGATATTTGTCCTTTTGTATCCACATGTAGGCGACCAAGGCCAATTGGCCGACCATCAACACAAACAGCAGTACCGAATACTAAAAAGCAATTTAACATTTGTAATTATTAATTGCTAACGTTGGGGTCTTAGGAAAGGAACTCACAGTCATAGACATGCAGTAGGACTCGCGGATTGCGCCACAGCAGCCAAACCAGGAGATCAGCAAAATCACAGTTCCCAATACGATCATTGTTATGGGCACCTGTTGGGTGCGCAACGCCTCCGAAAAGTCATCGATGCTGTGAATGTTGCTGAAGAGCAAGGCACCGAACACAATCAATAATATGCCGCATATCTATAAAAGTAGAAACCAAAATTTAAATTAAATATTGAACGCGCAAACACGAGAATTTAAAAACAAAAACAAAAAAAGGTGTATTGGGTTGCATTGACTTTCGTGTCATATTAACGAGCTTTTGTTTGATAGCAGTACAAAAGCTTCTGCTGTGCTAAAAGCTGAATGATACAATTTTGAAATATGTTTCTTATAGTTGCTGATAAGAAAGAACATTTAAAACGAATGACATTTCTTGCCAATTATATTCTAAAACAAAATGTATGTTCAAATAAAAGCGCTTTAAATGACAATAGCTCTTTAAATGAAAAGAAAAGGTAAATCGCTTGCCCTGTGTCAATACAAAATTTCTAATTTAAAAAAAACTACCCAAAGCCTGGTTCAAGGTAACAAAAATTGTCGTCTAATCATTATAAATTTGACAAAATAAAAATATTTTATAATAATTTTACGATTGGAGGAGAACATGAATATTGAAAATGGCATTAGATAATTAGATGATTAACGGCTAATGTAATAAATGCATTTAAAAAATCCTCCGCAGCTAATGAGACACAAAAATGATTTTAAAAACGGGTGCCCGGCATTTAGAGGCGAACATATTTCATGTGCGGAGAGCTCAGATTAGTCAAAATAAATTGTAAGGCAATAATTGAAAACGCTAATCATTTCAATTAATAAAATACATAACGCGCGAAAACAAACCAAAATTTCAGCAAGCTGAACAGGTATTTTTTCTTGTATTCTATTATTTACTTCTATTCTGTTCTATAATATATGTTATTAAATTTTATTAATAATATAAAAACGCTTCGCTATGGCTTACAAAAAAAACTGCATTCATGTATGTATATATTCCCCTTTTCCCATCAATATAATTTTTCCATAGAACGTATTTCTTACATTCTCCTATTTAATCAGCCTTAGTCACCATTAGTAATGCAACACCATCTGGTATGACAACAACACTCTGAATCAGCCGTTGAATTGCAATTAGTTCCAAACAGACCGACATTGCGATTTTGATTCAAATCGTCACGCAGATCATATACTATGTACCTATATAGTGCACCATTCATTCTTTGTTCCTATGTACACATATGTATGTACTTTCAATATTCAATGAAGGGTATAATGACTTCCGAATTCCTCATCCTAATATAATTTATAGGTAATTGTGAATACTAATCCAATTCCAATATTCCACATTTCCGTAGATAATGAATCATTTTATCAGTTCAGATAGCTATCGGTTATCTTATCAAAATCTACTTAGAGTGAAATAAATCCAATTAGACTAGGGGCTAAATTGATGGATAAATGCAATAAATATTAAATCGTTTGTGCTTTGATTTCGAATAAATACATCAGCAAACTAATTGCCATTCGACAGCTAAATATTTTACAGTATACAGTATGTTCCATTTGACTTTCTCTATGACATTAACTGTGTATGCGCCGAGACTACTTATAGTTGTATATACCCTCACAACAAAGTCAAGGACTGCGAACTATTGTATTCACTTAACTAATATTTTACTGGCTTTTCATTTGTCAATTTATTTTCAAATTCATTGATGCAAAACACTTCTTAACGCTTCTATATCGTAGTCTGATTGAATGTTGGCCAATCAAGATACTTTTTAAGGCACCTGTTTATAAAAGCAGTCAGGTCAACTATTCTAGTTTTGGTCATGGAGGATATACAAAAATAAATACATGCCTTTGGATGATGTTGAAAAACTTTATTGCAATGGAGACATGCCTTACATGTTTCATTAGAATTCGTTTTAAGGAATAAGAAAGTGACTTCATCTCTGTGTCTGTTTGAGTACAATTAAGTATTTAAGAATAAACTTAAATTTTATAAATTTTCGAAATCAATCAAATGTATGTTCAAGTTAAAACAATATATAAAAAACAATGAGTATTCAAATTTAATTAGCTACTATGCATGTTTTTTTTAGGGAAATGAAAGAAATTTCATTTGTTGATTTCAATTTAAAACCAATTACACACAGTTTTAAATTCCGTATCCATTTTAAAATGCGCACCCTGGTAATTAACTCAGCCCAAGTCTATAACGAGCCGCCAACGTTTGAACTCGCATATTAACCCATTTATGCGACGATTATTTCATTAATTTAAACAAAAGCCAAAAGTCGTGGGCCCAGCCACGGAATTCAGTCCATAAAGCATTGCGACACAGAGACGTAGACTATAAATATGTCAGCATTTTAGAAATGTCTATATAGACATACACACACACATAAGTCATACGAAACTAGTTCAAGTGTGCCGTCCGTCGCCGCCCAATCTAATTCGGTCTGGGGTCTGGCCCTCCGTGCTTAAATGCAATGATTGTTTGGGTGAAGTTTTGACTGACAATGCGAACTACCAGCGTCAAGTTCAAATATAATTAAATGGGCTATTTTTAGTGTGGGTGAGCCACGGCCCGCATGTAATTTCGTAATTTTACTCTGGGCGTATAAAGAATTATTTTATGTTTGCGTGACTGGACTGCGAATTTGTTCATATTTTTATAATGCTGTGCAATTTTATGCAGCGGTTTCAAACTTGTCGTATATTTTGTAAGTTTTCGAAAAGCCTTGCTGTTTACATATGTATGTATGTATTTAAAAAAAAACTGGTTTTCGAACCTCAAAACTCGAAGCTCGAACTCAAGGCTTAAGTACAGTTTTGTTGCCTGGCTCTCTGACCTAATGAATGAATTAGAAGTTGTTGAACAATTGAAATACAAATGCAACAACCAACAGACAATTCGCTTCTAGTTCGCCTTGAATTCTAAACAGATATTTGATGCAAAAATTTATGCATGAAATCAAGAAACTTATTTGTTTGTTGTTCAAAACAAGCCAGTTCTCAAATGATCTAACAACTTATAAAAAAAATAATACGTCATAATACTAAATACAAAGATGGCAAAATTGCTCAAACATTTTGTTTTGCTTTGCTGTATGACGCTTTTTAAACTGTGTTCCCAGTTGGCATTTCTGGTAACTGGTTTTTAGGCCTCAACTTTTTTGGCTGCTCGTGAATTCAAATGTGTGAGCAGGCCGAACACAATACAGAAAAATTTGGAATATGTGTAAACCAGTTTAAGGTACAGCAACATATAAAATTACAAAAATATACATACATATGCGTATAAAGAACTGACTAACGGAAGCTGGCGTATGATATCATTTGAAAGTGAAAAATGGGCTTGGTTCAAAGCATATTAATACAAAAATATAACACATACTATACTATATACGATTATACTCACCGAGCACAGTAAATTAAATATAAATAGTATATATTTGACCATAGAGATTCCGCAACTCATTTTGATGAGATTCCTTTAGAGATACACTGGAAAGTCGCGCATGAATGAGTCGACAAACAAGAATTAAAAACATTATAGCTTTTTATTCAATGCATATACAAGCCTACACACATACACACTGATGTCATCAGGCAAGCAGGTCGCAGGCATAGACAACTACCACATTTGTTGTTTACACAAATTTCAGGAGAATTAGCACAAAATCACGTACAATATTTGAGTGGTTGGTTTTGCGTAGCGCGACGCGGTCTTAGAATTAAGTTAACATAACATTACGTAAATCTACGTTCAACGTTTGTAAAGGCAATTGATGAGTGTCTGTCTGTATGTCTAACGAGCTTAAGAACTATAATTAGCACTCGCCACGATGTCTCCTAATGTCTCCTCAGCGCACCAGTTCCGGCAACAACTTCTGCTTGGGCAACAGCGAAGCCTTTAGTTCGTTAAGACGCTGCCAAATGAAAGGGTAGCGAGCCGCCCATGCCAGCCACGCCTCTTTCGTAGCCGTACTGCTCTCCACTTGGCGCAAGTGCTTGTAATATTTATCATTCCGTTTCAAGCTCGCAGCAACATCCTGCGCGTATTTGGCAAACCGCAACTTGAGCAATGTCTCCGACACATCCAACAATCGATTTCCTTTCGGTGGATGCACCAGACACAGCTGACACACCACATAGTCCTGTGTAGAGCTCTTGTTTAGCGGTATGAAGGTGGCCTCGCGTCCAATCAGACATTGTTGCAGCCACGAAAAGCCGTTTGCATTGACCCGCACACCTGGCAACTTGACCGGCAGCAAGCGTTTGCGGCTCGTGAAGATCGGTATGAGAGGGCGGTGCTTGATCATCAGCAACGTGTCCTGATCACGCTGCTGCACCCCCTGGATTTTACCAGTGTGCATCACACGCTCGTTGATAATCCGCTCTGGTATATGTGAGGGCTGCTTAAATTGTCGCACCAAATACGCCGGCTTCCTCTTTGCATAGGCAATCAGGAGCATCAAGGTTGAGGTGCCATAAATAGTTAATTCCGTGCCAATGGTGTCTCGCTCCATGTAATTACATAACCCTTGGTATTTGTCCAAAAGATAGCTTTTCGTTTGCTCCATGTCGTGATTTATGAGTTTGTTTTCGTTTGTCAAAAATTAAGTACACTGCCGCCTGTAATTGTGTTAGGGTGGGGAGGGAAGCACAATTATTAAGTAATTTTTTTATGACATCATTTACTTTATTTAACAGCGGCAACGTCAGTCTTTCTATATGTTGTTCAGTGTTTCCACTATATATACCACAATATGCATATATACATACATATATTTGCGATTTGCCTAATTAAAATAGCCTATTCTATTTTATGTATTTCTTCGCTTATCCTTAAGCAACGACTAAATATTTTCTGTTTTGCTACGCGACAGCCAACCAACAATTCTGATATATTTGCTTAACAACGCCTGAGTGCGAGCGAGATGGCCAGTGTGTAGGTGATCTTGTGCGCGTTGCACCGCACTTGACAATCGTTTCGAAGGCGTTTTGCAGCACTGGCTCACACACACATTTAAAACGTTCAAACCCACACACATGCACACACAAAAGCACACCTTTTCGTTATTTATATTTCGTTTTTTCTTCTGTTGACGCGTTATTTGCGCGCGCTAACGTATGAACCGTTGTCGTTGTAGTTACAGACTGAGATCGCTTGCAATGTTTATGGATGCTCGAACCGCAGCCAGGCGGTCGTTGTTGACGCTAGCAGCGTCGCAACAACCGCCTGTTGCTCCATTCGACCAATCAAGCATACATACATACATATGTATATATGTATGTATGTACACACAGGCACCTTGGTGCTTGGGCACTCAGCTCCCACAACAACATTTCGTACATTAATAGCAACATAGTATTGAAAAAAAATTATTTATTTTTATTTTTCGACGCGCTGACGGCTGCTTGGTTACGCTGGCTTTCCCGACCCCGACACATTTTGATGACGATGACACAAATGGTGAGGCAGTTTGTGTAACAAACAATAAGAGGCGTGGCAGATATCTATTTACTATACATATGTATATATTTTTGATCAGCATGACACGACAAATCGTAATTGAACGCAACGATTTTGAAGGTATTAAAGGTTATTTAATTTGTCGAAATCAAATCAATTGCTAGCCGTTTCGAAAATTTTTCGAACTATTAGGTTTAGTTAAGTTGCCATTTGCCTGAATAGAATCAAAATTATTTAGAAATTTTCTTAATATTACAAGAATATTAAACATTTTACGGCTATTTTTATGTAAGTGTTCACCTAATTAAATAAAATGTTATTGAGAGACTTTTTCAAAAAAGTGTTTAATACTTGGTTTCATGTAAAATCCAATAAGAGCGGATCGATATCAAACCAAGTGTTAATAGAAAGTTCAATATTTGTCTAATCACTATTAAAAACAAGATAGAACGTTACAGTCGAGCAAGCCCGACAGTAAAATTGCCTATACTCTCCACAAAAAAGAAAAATTAAAAAAAAAAAATATTAAAAAAAATTAAATTATTTAAAAAAAATTAAATTAATTTATTAAATTAATTAAGAAAATTTATTTAATGCATACATAGTAGACATGTTTATGTACAGTTTTATATTTACATCACGTTTCTATTTGTATTTATATGCGTGTATGTATGTTGAACCAAAGCAGCAACAACAACAACAGATGCGGGCAGAGCTGCAAGCAGAGCATGAGCAGCGATTTTATTTATGGATATAACTTTCTTCAGAATTGACCTATCATGATGAAATTCGGCATACGGACACATAAGCACTAACTGGACGTAACTACTAAAACTGATTTCAAAATTCCAAGAATTACGGAAGTTATAAAAAAAAACACGAATTGCGGGGGAGTGGGGGGGGGGGGGTTGTATCAGAATAAAAAAATAAACTTGACCTGCCTAGGGCTTAGGGGAATCTGGATACCAAGTTTGGTAATTCTAGCTCTTGTACCTTCTGAGATCCTTGCGCTCATACAGACGGACGGACGGACAGACGGACATGGCTAAATCGGCTCGGCTTGCCACCCTGATGAAGAATATATATACTTTGTGGGGTCTGCCACGCCTCCTTCTGTGTGTTACATACATTCGCACAAAACTAGTATAGCCTTTCACCCTTTGGGTACAGGCTATAAAAATGTTTGACAAATTAAAACAGTTGTTATTGGATCGGATTAAAAACGAAAGCGAAAATAATGGACAAACACCAACAAAATAAATAAACTGCAAATTTTGTACTTATAAAAAGTATTTCGGATTGAGAACAAGTCAATATGTTTTGTTTTAACTATGCACCACTCCTTTGACATGATAAATACATTTCGTAATATTTGTGATTTGCATTTCAAATAAAGTTTTAGAAATGTAATGGAAGCTCTGCCAACAGATATTATACATATGTATGTATATTAAGTTAATTTAAAGTGTATGTAAGGGATCGAGAATAATACAATATGTTATATTTTATCGAAGCACCATCCCCTATAACATGCTAAGCACGTTTTGTAATGCTTACCATTTCCATTTCAAATCAAGTTTTAGAAATGTAATGAAAGCTCTAGCAACAGATATTATACATATTAAGTTAATTTAAAGGGTATATACAAATTGGCGCGCGTAACTCGATTCGTGTACTGATATGTATATACATACGTATTTTAATTGTGGTTACCTGTAGTATTGTTGTTGCCTCTGCTATTGTTGTTTCTCTCTGTTTGTTTGTATATGCAAATGCGTTTTGTTACTTTGTTTTGCGGTTACCATTCGAAATCGCTTGCGGTTGCTGTGGCTTTGAACGTGAACCGAAATGCATGTACGTTGCCCTCCGGAGCGGCTCCAATGGAAGTTGTGTTTTTAAAAAACGTGTTTGGATCTTGGGGCTTTATTTTTACTTTTACTTAGACAGCTGGCCAGACCAAACTGGTTTGGATGAGTCTAAAGCGCTTAGTAACGCGCCCCAAACAACCCCCACCTTACTGCAGAAGATTCAATAACACATGGCCTACTAGGGTTTCAGCTCAACGGCTCTCTCTCTCTCTCTCCCTCTCTCAGCTTCGGTTCCGTTCTTAATTACATGAAAAACTTAAGTTCCAGAATCTAACTTTTGCTTTTTTGTGCTATTCATTTAGCTTTTCAAAGCTCATTGGCAATTTCATTTCATTTGTAACTCTTTCCTTGACACAAAAACAACAATAACAACAATGGCAACAACAAAACTGGTTTACGTGCTGTAACTTACGTAATCCGAATAGCACAAGCGGCTTCAGAATTAGTAGCACGTATGTACATACATACATACATAGATATGTATATACTAGGTGTGAACCGAGAACTTCCCCATTTTGAACGATATCCAAGTATTTGTCACTTGGTGTGGAAATGGAAATAGAGGCGTCAGAGCGCCAACGAAGCCGTCAACAACAACGTAAACGTCACTATCACTAATTAACAAGTGCGCTCTGTACAATTAACCTCGGGCCGTATGCAAATTTGCTTCCCCACAGACCAAAATTATTGACCGTATTGCGACACGGCTTATGAATCATTTGTTTACAAAAGATTCGTCAACTGTATTTTTTAAATTATACTCAGCATTGGCACCCTACGGACAATTACTGTTCTTGACTATAAGTTGATTTGATCAAGATTTGTACGAGTATACTCATGTAACTCTGACTAATACTGGAAAACAAAAGGTCACCCGACAATACCCTGCACTGAGCTGAGGCAAAATCTCCAGTATTATTATTATTATTACAGCCATTTATAAAACTTGCTTCATGTATTGGAGAACGCTAATCTATTGCTTATTATTATGGTATTACATAAGCTTACAGCATTATCGATCCTAAGCATCTGGCTTTCGAAATAAAATAAATAAATAAATACAATAAATAAATAAAACATAAATTTGTAAATCTCGGGGTAAGATTTAACATTATCAGACAACTTTGTAACAATCAAAACGAACCATTATAAATCTATTGAAATCGACGCTATAAAATTAATTTTCGCATTTACCAGTTAGCTTTACACATCGTACCATTCGAGGTAGCGACAGCTGTCCACATTATTAGACAAATGTTTTTCTATGAGAAGCTCTATTTTGATCTGTAGGTGGACTTTCTTTGCTCTTAGATTACATAGAAAGTTGAAAGTGTAGAAATATTTGAATTTCCCCAATTGTTTTGAAGTCATTCTTTAGAAATGATTGTAATTAATAAGTAAATCCCAATTCTTGAAAACCGTAAGGTTAGAGTTGTTCTATGAAAATGAACTTTATTTTACCAATCATTTCGATTCTACTAATTCTAATGACATTCTAAAATAACATAACTTGAACAAAACAAAGAATTATTTTGACACTGATCGGTTCTATGGTAGCTTTAAGGCTATATTTGGCCAACTTAACTTTCCATGTTTGGAGTCAATAGTTTTAGGAGCTCATACAGCCGGACAGGCCGACGTTTACAGCCGTCATGCTGAACATATAGAGCAAAGGACTTCCTTATTCCTGAGTTAACCCAAACTATAATACTTTCTGCATTCGATCACCATTTTATACTATGCGGTAAAACGAGAAGTTTTTACGAATAATTATACAAATATATGGAGAATTATTCATTTATAGTACATTTTTTCACGACTAGAAAACTGAAGAAGTGTCAATCGTTACTGGGCTATCTGCTATGTACGTGTGGTTTGTCTGACGCAGCTTGAGGGGCCGTATTATATTTCTTTATCGCCGCAAGCTTCCGTGGAGGTCGCGCTTCTCGGGTATTTCCAGGTAATTAAATATTTAATTACTGCACGACATTTGAGGTATGTATTTTGAAATGAAAATTATTTTAACGGGAATAAAGCTGTCAGTAGTTCACTAAAGCAGATCGGAAGTAAAGACAAAAGTCGACTTTTGCACTGTTAGTAGATTAGAGTATTTCCTTTAACGCGCAAAAGAGAAGAGTAATGGTTAGCGCAAAAGAGCGTTGACGTCAAGCATTGAAAATTCGTCCAGAATGTTAGCAATTTGTAGATTACCTCTAAGTGGCTTTATTAGCATTCCCTTCTCTATAATTCCGATCATTTGAATTCTTTTCTCATATTTCACGACAGCAGCTACGTAAACAAATTTACTGCGGGCTGGTCTAACAATTGTGCAAATACATACATACACACATCTACACCAAGTTGTACACAAATAAACACACAATTAAATGTTATTATCATGTTGTTGTAACGCAACGTTTTTAAATCTCATTTATCTTCAAATCACACATTGTTTCGATTGGAAAATAGGGACGCCATTGTTGTATTTTTTTTATTTGCAACTGCTTTTCGGCAGCATTGTCAAATTATCAGTTAAAATCGTAAAATGTCCAGTAGAATAATCGGAGCTTAGTAGAAGTATTTAGCTGCTAAATCTATTAATACAAGCGTCGCGTGAAGTGAATCTGCTGGCCAGGTGGTTGTGAGGGGCCGGAAGATGTCGGCTGACCCGGCAGAAGGGACAACTGCTGTCTGGCAAGTTGTTGCTCATGCGCAGAACCGCCACGACCTGGCGCATAGCCTTGTGTAATGCTGCCCGTTGTTTTGGGATTCTGCAATGGTACAGGATTAAAGATTAAAGAGTTAATTCTAAGTACATTTACGATAGTACATTACGATAGGCGCTTTACTCTGCTCTTAACACCATTAACTAATTAATTGGAACGCGCTTCTTACCGTCGCGGAATTGCTGCTTATCTGTAGTACATTGGGATGCAGTGATAGCTCGCCGAGTAGCGGCTTGTAGATGACACCACCTTCCGACAATAAGTGTGGCGGTGGCGGCACATGACCAGGCGGCGCCCCACCATCGTGTTTTCCCTCAATGTGATAGCGTTCCGGTAGCTTTTCCATTGTCACTTGCGGCTTGGACGTTTGCACGGAAAGACTGCTGGTGCCAGTGGCTTGTACCACAAGATCAGCCTGCGAAATGGGCGGTTGATCCAGATTGATGTGTAGCACCTGCATGGGCTGCCCCTTCGACTGCGCATCGGGTGGTTTGCTGACTGTGGCAGTGGGTCCATGCTGCAGTTCCATATGGTAGGCAGGACGCAACGGCAGGCTATAGTTGCTATATATTGACGACAGACGGGCATCCGCCTGATGCTGGGTCGTGGGCGGGGCTGCAGTGGTCTGATAGAAGAGCGTTCCCGTGCCCGGATACGGTGCCGTTGATTCTGCAAAGGTAAAGGGCAAAGCGAGTGGGCGCTTTAAGTGATGATGGCCTACACAAGAGTTGCGTGTGTGTGTGTGTTTTTGAGAGGTGTTTTAGTATGGAATTCGACTGATTCTTACTGTTCCAAGACATTCTAGCATAGTCCGCGGCACGACGGTAGTCATCGTGTCCTGCGAATCGAGTGTAAACAAATAACGAAACAAAAATAAGTTGTGTGCCTGCTTGTACGTTTATACGAAGCGCCAAATTCGTGGAATATACTACATCGAAAAGTTTTTCAAAAATTGTATTGTGATTGATTCGAGCCACAATTTTTAATCTTCGTATAAACGCATGGAGTGTGTGCGTATGAGTTAGTAATTAGTGAGTCGCTCTTGTTTGGTTTAATAAAATTGGTTAGAGTTGACATGCTAAAAAAAAAAAATAGTGTATTGGCAGCTGGCCTTACTCTGTGGGGCATAGCTGGCAGCGTTTTTATAATACGCTTGATGCTGATTGGGGGGCGAAGGACTACGACCGCGCTTTGTCGAATGCGATGCAGGGGGTGCCTTGAATTGGAAAGAATATATAATTGAATATACAATTGTTGCAACTTCGATCTGTTGGTGGCCTACCTTCTGCAGCATGGGCACTGAGTGTTGCTGCAGGCGAACTGGTGGCATATATACTTGGGCCGCCACACTAACCGCTGTGGCTTGTTGCATGGCCTGCTGAATCGCAAACAGTTCACTATCTTTCATCTGCTTCTTGCGAGTCTCGTCATCGTTGAGTACTTTCTTTAGCTGTACCACTAGCTGGTGCTTTTGGCTTTGCAAATCGGCAAGCTGTTCATCTAGTCTCGTGATTTGTCCACGTGTATCTTCCAATGTCAAGGTGTTCTCACGCTCCCGTGCCTCGCGTTCCCGTTGCAGGCGTAGCTGCTCGCATTGCGCTTCATATTCGGCCTCATACTCCTGTCTGCGATGACGTTCATCGATGATGAAGCCTCGGAGCGCCCCTCGCAGCTTTTCTGCACGTTCCGCTTTCGCTGCCTGCACAGCCGCATTGTTTGCATTATTGTTGACCGCAGACGCAGGCGGCATCTTCGTGCTCTGCTCCTTTTTACTTATTTTGCCAATTTTATTAGCTTTTATGTGAACCCCACGCTGCGCACAAATTACGATAAATCAAAATAAAAAGCGGCCCTAAACGCCAGCGCAATTTAATAAACTGATGCCGAAGTGGGGTAGTGTTGTCAATTTTTTGTGTGGAATGTTTTCATTGCAATTCGTATGCTGACAAATGGTATTCTTAATTATTAATGCCGCAAACTGTTTTTAAAAAACGTCTTGGTTATGAATTTAATGCATATTTGACTAACTTCAACAATATATTACCGAATAAACAAGTACTTAACCACTAATGATAGTACCTGGCAACTCTTTCGCTATGTCTGCCATTGCCATCTCTTTTACACTGCCACTAAATTTGAAGCGAAGCGCAGCCAACTTTACTTTGCTAATAGCAGCTGATTTGAAAACTAAGCACAATGAGGCGTGCGTGCGTCATTCGCCGCCTCTCAGTCGCAGTCGAGTTTTCTTGTGGTGTCGTTGTGTGCGCATTGAATTTCGTGTGAATTTCAATGAAATACAAATTTTAAAAGTGTTTACCAGTATTTATCTCTTAAAATAACATTCCGGCGGAATAGTTTTCATATTTTCAAATCGCAAACTAAAGCGCGTGTGCAAAACCATAACGCAATGCTGTGAAAAAATTGTGGCTAATGCAAATGTGTTCAAATGCTTGAATTTTTTTAATCATAAATCTTAACACACAAAGTGCATTAAATATATGTATAAAAAATTGTGCCTCGAATAAAGCAACAACATTTACGAGTGACGGTGAAAAATAAAAAATAAACAAAAGTAAAAGCAGCGCTATACCAGCGTCAGCGATAAACATAAAGAAGAAGAGAATCGGTAGCGGCTGAGCGGCAAAATCAACAGCAGCAGCAGCACTAGCAACAACAACAACAACAATAGTGCAACATGGCGAGTGAGTAATAATAATACGCTTGAAATGTAAAACATATTCCTTAGGGTATTCTTGAAGTTGTGCACTTTCTAAGCATGACCGTTCTTTTGTTAGATATGTTTACAAAAGATACGGCAACAGATATAAACAAACGCAACTCATGCGTGCAGCCTGGCATGTGTGTGTGTGTGTGAAATAGAAATTAAAGTGTGTGGGTGAGGAAATAACATTTATAGACTACTAAAGCAGCCCGACACTCAATAGCCAGGTGCATCAGACTCTGTGTAACTTCATACATACATACATATACATATCTACATACATACATATGTAAGTGCTTTTGTTCGTCTAAGGCAGCGAATGCAATGTTTGTGCTTCTTTGCCGCATCACCGCGACTCATACACATGTGAAAAATCAATATTTACACATTCTTTCTGGCCTTCTCAGCTTCTTTCTGACTTCGGTCGCCTGCACAGTGGGCCAACATGCATACATTGTGTACACATTCTATCCCCCCACAGCCACATGCAGCGCACAACTATCATCAATGGCGGCTCGCCGCATGCCACGCTTTGCAAATCCAATCAGAATTTCATATCTAGCCGCAACCGCCATTTGCCCAAACCATTGCCAGACATTGCCAGCCATTAACAACGCAAAATCCTGGGGGGAATAATGGGAGGCCGCGTGTGTTGTGTTTAACATCTGCGTCAACCGCTCCGCTTTCACCACCACCCACAGCAACAACAACAACAACAATGATGGTGATAGACCACGCACAGTGGTGTATATCCTTATTTGCTTTGTAAGGAAAATATAGATAAGCGTTTAAGGAATATCCTTAAATTTTCATAACAAAAAGCACTTATACTAGAAATATTTATTGAATGTTATTTCTCTTGTAATTAATACTTTTGACATTGATGTGAGGGGCTGATTCTTGCCTGTTTCAACAATCGATCACAATTTGCGGAAGTTAATAGGAAAAACGAATAACTGATCCTTACAAAACTATATTTGTAAATACGCCAAATAGGCCTTTCCATAAATGTAAGAAAGTTTTTCAACTTCTGCAGTCAAAAAATCATCCCACTAGCTGTTGAATCGAACAAAGGGGGGTTTTAAAAGTTATGAAAAGTTTCATGAAATCAAAGGTTCTTTGCTGGAACGGATCTCAGAATGATCCGACCTAAATCCCATAGAGGGATATAAATAAAGAATATTTGTGGGTTTAAGCCCAAAAACAGAGCCGATTTATGGCAAAAAGTGCAGACCGTATGGTATGCCATTGATCCCCCAACATTTGCCCCAAACTGACGGAATATATAGGTCACCCAGGCGCAGAAGCTTTCAAAAATCAAAATTTTCAAAATGCTTTTCTTTTTTTAAATTTAAATAAATAAATATTTAGTAAAGAAAGAAATATTTAGTAAAGAAACAATTAAATTCTGAAAGAAAACATTTTGTATGGAAGATAATTCGAATAAACGAAGAAAATTTAGTCGTTTCTATTATTTTTTCCATCACTGTATATCATTTGATTTTTCTATTTTTTATGGGACCGTTGCGTAGGATTGTAAACCAATAATTGATGAGCTCGTTTAAATATACATATGAAAACATAAGTATTTTTTGAATAGCTAAGAAATCATCACTGATTTAAAACACCTGTAACATCAGTTGGTGTTTAAAGGGCTTAAAGAGCTTATACGGATTTTTATGCTAACCCGCACAAACGCTTTGAAACATCTGGTAACAAGTTCTCAAGCTTAAAGCACTGTTGCTCCTTTGAAATTGTATTTTTTTTTTTATTTTTCGCTTTGTAATCAATCACGAAAAATTGGGTCTGTCAAGTCTTCGAAATCCCGCTGTTTCGAGTCCCATTTCTTTTCTGGGGGTTTCAGCTGCATTGGAATAGCAACACACTGTGCAGGAAGCATACGCATTAATAAATGAATATTTTTCTATGCTGTACATGGGCTGCTATCTTTAACCCCCCTGGTGACCGAGCAGCAACAACAGCAACAGCAACAACACCACTTGTGTGTACGTGCCGTATGCCGAAGAACATTCCTAGTGCTTTTGAGAGCCAGCCAGACAGTTACAACATCAGTGCACCTTCGCAACCCCCTTTTAGCCGGTCGCCCACCAACTGTGCCCAACGTAGCGCAACAAACGTCGTCACTGCTCGACACCTTCCCCGTTCGTGCCACCCACACCACTCACTTTAGATTTTAATTGGTCCTTTGTGTCTGCATTTGTCGACGCGACGCGTCTTCGCTGCTTTTCGACACTTTTTCACAAAAGTTTTTACACTCGCTCCAGAGTCCTGTGTCATTTGTTCAACCCCACTGTGCAATTGTTGCTGATAAGGCATATCAGTTACCCAAAACAACCAACCCCCGAAAAAGTCGAGCGCGCCATGCCCTTTCTTTATGGTTATTATTATTTTTTTCGGCCTTTTCTTCATTCATTTCACGCAGATTAGTCAGATTAGCTGCCAGCTGAGCGAGCCGAGCTTTAGTCCAGGCAGTTTCTCCCGTGAATCCATTTGAATTGTGTATTTTAGCATTTGTTTCATGTGCTTGTGAGTTTTCTTTGCCGCGCTTGCAACTTATTTTTTATTGCTAATAAGATTCTCGCCCGTTTACTAAATGTTTGCACCAGTTTCTTGTCCGCAGAAGTCGCCTTGCCCCCCATTTCCACTGGGCGCGCTTTTAATGGCCTTGGGAGTGGGGATGGCAGCGCATTTTAATTGGCCTCGGGCCCTCCTCAAATTGACATAGAAATTAATTTCAATTAACTTTCAAATTGAGTTTACTCTCGACGCTCTTTGAATACTTGAAATTCCTTTCTGCCATAGTGCTGTATACCTCCTACGAGCGACAATGGGCTCAACTAACAACTGTTTCTTTACCGAAGGATCCCCACTTTAACATCCAGATGTATAAAATGCTGGTTTGCATTTTAGACTTAGACTTTTGTGCCTGAAAGTTACACAATATTTGTAAATTTTTGAAAATTTGTTAATTAGGTAATCAAGTAAAACCCCACATAAAATCCACCACCACTTCCTATAGAGCTGAAAACAGAGCCAACAACTTCCTACTCATGTAAAATTTCAAGTTTGAAAAGCAAAAACTCGAGCATTTACGAGCCAAATTTCTTATTACGGACGCTGCTGTAGGATCGGGGCAACGGGGACAAAAGTCCCGCCAGACAATGCATCGATTTGGCGATAGAAGGGGCAGCGGGATGATGTCGCAACGACGCCGTTCGACCGAATCCCGCATTGATCAGATTGTTTACGAGGTGACGCTGGGAAACTATATGCAGGCCATGATCTTCATCAACGATGGCCTGGGTGCGGCGCGATCTAATGAGGAAATACTTGCCCTGATGGAGCTCAAGAATATTGTGGTGCGCCTACGTATGAAGTGCGAATCGAATGTGCAGTTCGGGCCGACGAGAAAATCCCCAGCTCTGCCCCGTGGCTTCACCGTCGAAATGCTCGATGTGGTGCAGAAAGTGCTGCGTTGTCGCAACCATTACGAAGTGCTGCGCGTCTCTCACCATGCGACCTACTCGGAGGTGAAGCGTTCCTACAAACGTCTCGCATTGCGCCTGCATCCTGACAAAAACCAAGCTCCAGGCGCCGAGGATGCTTTCCGACGCATCAGTGATGCGGCCGATGTGCTGACCGACAATCAGAAGCGCATCGAATACAATCTCCACATGGTGGTCGGCAATAGCCATGGAGGGCACGGATTCTTTCGAAACAGCATGTTCTCTCAGACCGATTACAGCGAAAGTGATTGGCAAGAACCGCACACATCGGCGTCCACGAACAGCACCGATGACGAGCTGGGGGATTTTGATAATCAAAACGGAGCTTATGAAGAACCAAATCAGAGACGTCGGCGTCCTTATGAGCCGGCCAATCAGCGTGTGCCCCAAACGAGTTCGCTCTATCCCACGGAACAGCTGATCATGGGCGTTGTGGCCTCAGTACTGCTCATATTTATCTCCCTGCATTACTGGACTGCGTCTGCCAATTATAGCTTCTCGGCCACCAGGTGAGTCTGAAGGTTAGGGCTGTGCAAGTCTTGTTTCTATACAGAAACAACAGCGAACGCTACAGTCGAGCAAGTCCGACAGTGTAATACCCTGTACCCAGGTAAACTTCCGACACTGACGTAGCAGAAGCAAAAAGGGGAAGAAGAAGAACGAACTTGATGCTGCAGCTTGTGGGCGTAGTACCGAAGTAAAGTTGTTTCGCTAATAACTTTTCTTAGAACCATCCGATTTAGATGAAATTCGAAACAAAAGTAGATAATTATATAGAAATTATGTGTGCAAAGTTTGGTTAGAGTAGCTTTTCAAATGTGGACGGTAATGATGAAATTCTGTAGCGGGGGAAGGGGGGGGGGGGGAAATTCCAAAAAATAAAATAAACTCGTCCTTTCTCGGACCTAGGAGAATCTGGATGCCAACTTTGGTTATTCTAGCTTTTCTAGTTTCTGAGATCCTTGCGTTCATCCAGACGGACGGACGGACGGACATGTCTAGATCGATTTCTCTCGTCATGCTAATTCAGAATATATATACTTCCTTCTGCATGTTTCATACTTTGCACAAACCTAATATACCCTTTTTACCCTACGGGTACAGGGTATAAAAAGTACTACTACTATAGAGAGAATTTGTTATCGAGAATGAGGAGAGAAGATAAGAAAATTTACTGTCCAAAAGATCTCTCCTTTATTCCAATAAGGATTATTTAATACTAAGTTTCTAGAAATTTTTCCGACGCAACGGAAATGTCAACTCTGTTAAATAAAGCAACAAATAAGAATCTATTCTTCAGTAGTTAGACAATTTAGTAGATGTGGCACATAAATAGGTTTTGCTTTGTGCAATACGGTGTACAGTATTAGATAAAAATTGGGGGTTTTTAATAAGAGCAAGACTTGCACAACCCACCAGAAGACCGACCTACCTTACTCCAAGCCTTTGCGATTTCTCTATCAGCACGTTTAGCGTACGGCGCTCAACTCAACAGCATGGCATACCTTACTATGTTACGCCTGAGTTTGCAGAAAAACATCCGGGCATATCGTCTAAAAAAATGGAACAGGAAATTGAACATTTATTCTTCGCCGACCTGAAATATAACTGCAAACAGGAGCGCCAAATACGTGAGTAGGGCGGCTAACATTGTCGGGCGCTTGACAAAATTTCTTTTATCCCATATCTTCCAGGCGATTCGTTACTGAACCGAGCCCGGCTAGGTAACAATCGAAATCTGCGCCTACATGCCCTCAAGATGTCTATGCCCGCGTGCTATGCCCTCTACAAACTAAGTCATAAAGACATCAATCCCCTATTGCTGGAAAACAAGTCTGAACATTATGTGTAAAATCTGGGAATCAGGAAATGAATATGCAACGAATTTTGAACTATTGCTTAGTAATATCTCGATCTTTAGTTTTGTATTTATAAATAAACTGTGGCGTACATTGGAATTTGAAAGCTCTAAGTTTTCATGGATGTTTGATTTAAACAGAATATTAAAATGTACGAAGTACAGACCAGAAAAGCTGTTTTTTTTTTGTTATTGAAATCCAAAGTATAAATGATCCTCGAATGTTGGCAGACGAAATAGTATATTTCTGAGTATGCTTTCAATATAACTCAAATTTCGTCGGAAAACAATGGGTATATTGCGTTTCTAAAACACGTAAAAGGAAGCGTGCTGAACGAGGGCTTCTACAATAAGTATATAGTTTGTCTATTATTTCCGCTAATTGCTATTTGAAAGTTATTGAGCTGGAACTATGCGTCTAGAATTCACTTCATTTTCTCACACAGATTACGTTTTAAAATATGACCCGATTCAGATCACTCTATCGTATTGCTGGCATGGAAACAGCATGTCTGAAAAACCAATAAAATAATGGTTTAAAGAATGGACAGAAATGTATTTTTAAGTTCGGAACATTTGAAAATTGGCTTGTCACTTTTCAAGCAAATACTGACTCGACAACAGGCTTCTATATGCACCGGTTTTGAAAAAACTTAAAAACACAGATAAAATTCAAACTTATTATTTGTCCACATATAGTAATATGATATTTTATTACAATCTGTCTAATTGGCAATGAAAAAACATTGTGTAGAGTTACTGAATGATATTGCAGTCAGGATCTGAGGGATGCAGTATTTGCAGATATATTCGAGGACTAATGTGGTCTTCCATAACTAAGATTAATCTTTGCACTTCTTGTTAACGATCGTTCCTGATTCCGTTTTTGGAATGGCATTAAAAGTGCTGCAGATTGGTTAGACAGAGCTTTAAAATTAGGTGATTTGCAACGCATGGTGTATAAAGAATAGGAAAAATGGGGCTTTTAGATAACTGATCTCTTACAAAAGCTGACTGATACAAAGCGATAAGAAAAATTGTAGCAACAATATTTGATATCGATATGAATTCGATATGATTCAAGGTAACACTAATCGAATACTGCAAATCCTGTCTAGCCCATATATTCGTTAAGGATGTTTAATCAAAGCTGCAGGCGGGGATTAAATGGTATAAGACATTTTTATAAAACGAATCCCGCCTCGTGCATAGCCTCTCTCCCACAGACCTCTTACTTAAAACAAGATAGAACGCCTGTACTCTCCACAAAAAAGAAAAATTATAAAAAAAATTAAATTATTTCCAAAAATGTTATTAGTTTATTAAATTAATTAAGAAAATTTATTTGCGTTGTCCCATACAATAATACAATAAATTTTGCCATATAAAGTCGACCACACGTTCATTACTATGACGCACTATTTCGCCTTAAAATGGAACTGAGTTGGATTTGTTGAAGTTTTTCATTAATCATACTATAATTATTTTTTAAATGAATTGTGCATTATTTAATCAAAATTTTAATTTTTTGGCCCCCCCCCCCCCCCCCCCCCCCCCCCCCCCCTTTGGTAAAAGCTGCGTACGCCCTTGGGCTTTTCATAAACTTGACTTTTTTGGCTTCTTCATGTCAAGTTGGATCTCTTTTTTCTTTCCTTTCCTTTTTTATAAAAGTTGAATTTTCCCTGCCATTTTGTCAATGTTAAATCTGTGATATACGTTTTGTACTCGAAATTATTTCATTCTAATTTTAATGCGATAGATTCATTAAGATATGGATGTAAATCGAAGTACATATGTATACAAGTATAGGAAAATGCGGGCAACCGGCATACCTTGATTTCAACATGCATATTTAAATTCATAATGATGCTTTTGCTTTGGCACTAAACCCTAAGGGCCTCGTAAGCGTGCCCCAGTTTTCGCACATAACTCAGTGGCATTATGTGCATTCAATCAAAATTGAAGTACATAGTCGTACGAACGTAAATTTAACATGCAATTGCCTGCGGCAACAACAATAACCACTCCTACAAGTATATATATTTATGCCTTTTTTTACTAGTTTTTTTTATGTATGTATGTAGGTGTATGTATGTATGTGTGTTATTTGTACGAAAGTCAGTGACTCGTTTAATGAAAACAAAATGCCGAAACCGTGCTTAAGAGTGCCTCCAACATAGCCAAAAGCAATTGCCCCACAATTGCAAACGAATAGAAGAAAAGAAAAAAAAAATTAGTCCAAAAACTGGCTGCCGTCTGCATGGATTTCCCGCATACGCCCACAGCGCCCATCAACCGTCCATCCACCCGCTGTGCCCAACAAAAGAGTACGAACGAACCCAATGATGGTGACGATGATGATGATGACGACTACCAGGTTGGCGATGTCTACAGGAAAATGGGTGCATGCCACATAGCAAGGCGGCATACTCTGAATACCAACGAGTACCAGTTACAGGAAAAAATATCCAAACAAACATTGAGACACGCACACAAACAAAAGCATGCAATTGGATACATACGAGTATATGTACATATGTATGTATATGTGTATACCCAATGTAAACCTATGTGTGTATGTATGTGCATGCATTTATTTATGCCTGTGTGTGTTTGTTTATGTGCGTAAATGGCAGACCCATAAAAAGTGCGCACAGTTTGTCGCATTCATGCAATCGTTTCAATTTCAAATAGTATGTAAAAGGAGCACAACAACATATTCAAACATATGTATATAGGTACATATACTTGTATGTACATGTATGTATGAGCATACATATGTATGTATTGCATATTTGTGTGCGCAGCGACGGCTGTCAGGCGGAAGTGCCGCTGCACCTGCAATGTGTCGTCGTCTGTCAATCAAATGAGTTGCACCAACACCTGTCCCAACTAGATTGCAAGCCATACAGACACACACACACACACACGCACACTCACAAATGCTGCAAATTCTATATGATAAAGGGTAACCCCCTGCAGCATTTGTGTAAGTGTATGGATAACTGTCTGCAAACGCAGGGTTGTTTATTTACAAAGCGATGTTATTGTTGCTGATATTGCTTACTCGAATATATGTATATACATACTTGTACATACCTGCATACATATGTATATACACACATTCATACATACATACATAAATATATATTGTTAATGCTGCCACACGCCTCACTTAATGTGCTTTTTGGATTCTATGCTCTTATTTTCTGTTTCATTCATTATTTATGTTCATCGTTTGCCAACTTCTTTGTATGCCCTGCACCCGAATAGGGTATTCAGATAGGACAAATTTTTGAATCTAAGTTAACTATTTGATTTTTCGAAAGTGGCTTCGATATTTCATGTATTGAGCCTTCACGGAGATTTCTTCATAATCAGATAGCAAATAATTTAAGCTATTTTAAATCATTATTCATTTTTCAAAAGAGGCTTCGATATTCCAAATTTCAAATACACCTAATTCTGTTTTTAAACGGTTTTGATTTAACACGGTTTGAAAACAAAAAATTTTATATAAGGTTACACGATTTTGTTATTCCATTTAACTTTTGTTTTGGATCAATGTCTCTTTTTACACGATCTACCGCGTAAAAACAGAATTAGGTGTATAGTAATGCATATAAAAATCCGCTTATGCAAATTTTACAACTTTCCCAAAAGACTTTTCTCAAGTAAAATTCAGACTTTGGCTTGCTTTCAGTTAAATAGTCGTAAAAAAAACTATTTGCTTTGGGATCTTCACGAATATGTTGATCAAAAATGCATGATCTCTTTATTTCACATAGATTGGTGAACCCTTTTAAAAGGTATCTTCTAATAACGTACAACCAAGTGCATACATTAGTATTTAGAGTGTTTACTCTTTAAGTCGCACCCGTCGCCCCTTTTTAACCAATTCTAAAACTTTAGAATACTGTCTGAAATATTTGAAAACTTATAAACACTAGTTTACAATCGATAAAGAGTGATCGTTCCTCTAACTGCTGTATGATATAGTACAGTGTACACATTTTTATACGTACTTATATGTACCTATAAGTTTGGTTCTAAATGAAATTGCAAATTTGAAATACCCATAAGGAAGCATTATAGACCACTTATTAGACGCACAATATGCGATGTCCTTCTGCTTCTTTGGAACACGTCGATACTTTTCCCCCCGAAAAAATCGATATAATTTAAAAAATTATGGGATTACAAAATAACCGAAAGTTAACCCTAGATCAACAGTGAAGCATCGGCGTAGCTTACTTCTTAGCGCCCCATATCCTCAAATCACTTTAGGTGTGAGGCATAATAATGTTGTTGCTTTTTTGTGATTTAATCAAATCGAAACTGCTTTTCGATGTCTGGTTGGGAGGTACTGGTATAAAATAAAACGGGTAATAGAAATATAAAGTGTATGCAGGGATCGGCTGGTAAAGGATGTTTGCTGTTTTGTGCTTTAGAAACTTTGCTTAATGCTGTTGAAAGTTCGAATGCAAACCCAACTAAAGGCGGTCCGAGTCAACCCTCGGATGAACCCCTAGCGACGAGCTCAAGAGATGCTTAAGTGCTGTTGTTGTTGTCGCCCACTTGATGTTGTTTTTCTTGTTTTTCTTGTTGTTGTTGTTGTTCTATGAGCTAGCCAACTTCTGGCTCCGTTGCTCTGCTGTTTAATAGTCCTTTACACTTGCCCTTCGTTTCTACACACACAGCCACACAACCACACAGATATACATACATACCTACACTCTCTTTCTCTAAAAGAAAAGCTTATCAGAATGGCATTAAGAGCGGGTTTTGTTGCCATGTGTTTTTGTTTGCATTTTGTATTTTTTCCCCCCTCTGCTGTTGTTGTTTTTTCAACATTTGTGCTCGAGGTTTTATTCAAATTGACTGCCTGGCTGCGTGACCTGACTGTCTGTATTTGTATGTGTTGGTATGTGTGTGTGTGTGTGTGCTTTTGTCCTGGAGCATTGGCAGAGAAGCTCGACTATCGTTGGCTCGGAAAATGAGCATTTAATGTAGCGAGCTTTAAGCATTGGCACATCATTTTTGGCCATAAATTCCTGACTTGTTTCGGGTCTTGCTGCAATTGCTTGACAATTTTACCAGCTAATAGGATTAGGTGTACCAGTACATTCATTTATTTGCCTGCCACGCACAAAAGTTCGCTTTGTCATAGCTCCAGAGTAGCGCTGTCAATAAACGAAATTGGTAACAATAAATTGCAGAGCTAACAATGGCTAGTCCATTAGTGGGCTCCCCGAGCGTGCCAGGCGGCGATGTGTGGGTGGGTGGGGATCGAATTGCGTGCGATAGTAAGGGCCAGCAAACAATAAGCATAAAGCATAAACCTTGATAAAAAGCGACCGTGACAACAATGGCTGGTCCGATAGAATGAATTTGGAAGTTATCCGCAAAAGTTTCTTGGCCATTAGAAACGCCAAAACAATTCAGGCAATATGCTACACACCACAAGCTATTATTATTAATTTTGAATGCTCTGCTTATTTATCTTAAATAACTCTGCTTTAAATGTGATTCCCATGGAAAGTTTGCACATATGGGATATACATTTCATTCCTACTTAAACCTTTTTAAATATGATAATAAAAACGATAGCAAGGATAATATTGAAAAGTTGCTGTTCTATCAATTTTAGATAATCATTGAACGTACTTTCTTTTCACATCTTAATTTATTTTCTTTAAATAAATAAAATTATAACAAATTTCGCATGAAAAAAAATTTAATTTATTTGCAGAGATCTTAGACTGTCGATTCACAAGCACTTATAGCATATTACTTTAACTTTCTTACCCGCTAACAACCGTAGAAACTATGAAGAACTCGGGGTCGAAGGCCCGAGTAGCTAGCACTCGTTAATTTAATATTAAATTTAGTATTAAATACTAGATTTAATTTGTTAAAATAAAAATAAATATGAAGAACTCTTCTTTAAGCTGAAAACAAGCTTTCAAGCGCTTATGGCGTTAAATGTTGTCTTACCATTTCTTAAGGGACCCACATAGTAGACTGATCGGTGCACAGAAAGACCCGAATGTTATAGCCTTAATTAATTATTTTGTGGAAATATTCCTCCCTTAATGGATGATATTTGATAATATTACAATTTGTAATAACAACCTGCATGAAAATTGTTTTTTTTTGTGACTAATAGCTTATAGTTAAGCAGTTGATTTCAAATACTACAAGTATATTCTGAAATATTAGCTAGGCAACTACAATGCAGAGCGACAGCAACATAATTCCAAAGTCTCGAGTTGAAATAATCTACTCAGGCTTCTTGTTTCGGCGCCAATCTAGCGCTTAAGTAAGCTATTTTTTAAACAAACTTGTTTGTTTATTAAAGATATTGAAACCAAATTTCATTTTGAAAAGTTGGCAACCGAACTCCCATGGTTGCGTAATAATCTTGGTCTTAATCTGTTAATGAAATCAGTGTTTAAGTCCTTCATCTCACACATAAGCATTAATGTAATTATTTAAAATAAATGTATTTTCTTTTGCAGCCGAAATAGACGAGCTAATCGAGCAGCTAAAGACGACAAGCGTCAGTCCGGACAGCACCACAACGCTGCTGTGCGAAATATCGGCGACCAAGGATCCGAAACTGTTTGACAAACACGAACTGGCCGAGTGCTTTCTACAACTGACACAGTCCGAGGACACGAATGTGCGCAAGGAGGCAGCCAAATGCATCGCCGAGATCACAAAGTCGGAGGTGCAGCGCAAGAAGTTCACCAAACGGGACATAATTGCCGCCTTTCTTGAGTGCCTGCGTCGTGTGCCGACCCCGGATGGCAGCATGGAACTTCCAATACAGATTTGTCGGGCTCTGGGCAACATCTGCTATCTGAACGATGAGGCGCGCGATCTTATCCTGGAGCTCAAAGGCGATGCAGTGCTGCTACAATTGCTAGACATCGCCGACATTGTGGATGCGGCCAACGCGCCTCAGTTCATCAAAGTGCGTGGCGGCCTGCTGTCAAATTATTTGCTCGGTGGCGAGGGATTGGCCAAACGTGCCATGGAACTGGGCATCATGCAAAAGCTGCAGCGCATCATTGCCAGAGGAGCGGCCAATGTGGAGCAACATGAGGACTTGCTGCTCAACACGCTGCCACTGCTTAGCATTCTCACCGAGAATGTGGCGGATCTAAACTTTGAGGCAGAGCTCAACATACAGTTATCACGCATACTGGCGGCCTCAACGAATCCCGATCTGGCCGAAATGTGTCTCGAACTATTGCACTATCAGGCCGAGAGTGATGAGGTTAAGCTGCTGCTCGCCAAGGACGGGCTCTGCGAGACCATCTACAATCTGCTGGAGAAATACAAGACACTGGCCAGCACGAGCGAGGCGCGTGCTCTCATGAAGCTGGCCTGTGAACTGATTGTGCTCATCTTGACGGGTGGTAAGTACACAAATGTTAATTTCATTATAAGTATTGATTAAAAGTACATAGATGGCTACTTTTTGATATCAAACACAATCAAATCCTTAATGTGTGAACAATATTTTGCAGATGAATCCATGCACTTCCTGTACACCACACCACTGCTAAAGAATATGGTCGACTGGTTGGACTCATCGGACATCGATCTGCTAACCACAGGCGTACTGGCCTTGGGCAACTTCGCCCGCACCGACAGCCACTGCATTTACTTTGTGGAGCAACAGACCATGAACAAACTGCTCGAGGTGCTGGCCAAGAACAATGGCGTCAAGGATGATGTGCGTTTGCAGCATGCGCTGCTCAGTGCGCTCCGCAATCTGGTCATACCCAAGCCGAACAAGAATGCTGTCATTCAAGCCGGACTGGTGGAAACAATATTGCCAATGCTGGAGATACATCAGCCTCCAGTGGTGTTCAAATTACTTGGCACGCTTCGCATGACAGTCGATGGACAAGGTAATGGCAATTACGAATTATAAATCCGCTACTCTGTTCAAAAGACCCTTAAAATGCAATATAGAAAGAAGCAATTTCAAAAATTCCATATAAATTAATTTAAATTAGTCTTGTTGAAGAATCCAACACTAAATCTCCGAGTTATCAATATTAAAACTAGTAGAACCATAAAGTCGCGGCAAACTGACTCCTGAACACTTTTATTCTGCTCAGCTATTAAAAAAACTTTATTAATTACAATATAGCAGCAATTTCAAATACTAGTATCGATCAAAAAATTCAATTGGAATAATTTGTAGTAGTCTTGTTGAAGAATCCAACACTAAATCTCCGAGTTATCATTATTAAAACTAGTAGAACCATAAAGTCCTGACGAACTGACTCCTGAACACTTTTATTCTGCTCAGCTATTAAATAAACTTGATTAATCCGGTACTCTGTTCAAAAGACGCTTAAAATGCAATAAAGAAGCAATTTCAAAAATTCCATTTAAATTAATTTTTATTAGTCTTGTTGAAGAATCCAACATGAAATCTCCGAATTATCATTATCAAAATAAGTAGAACCTTAAAATCGTGATAGTCTGACTCCTGAACACTTTTATTCTGCTCAGCTATTAAATAAACTTTATTAATCCGGTACTCTGTTCAAAAGACGCTTAAAATGCAATAAAGAAGCAATTTCAAAAATTCCATTTAAATTAATTTTTATTAGTCTTGTTGAAGAATCCAACATGAAATCTCCGAATTATCATTATCAAAATAAGTAGAACCTTAAAGTCGTGATAGTCTGACTCCTGAACAATTTTATTCTGCTCAGCTATTAAATAAACTTTTCTAAGGTTTAGTAAACCGAAAGCCTGATTGATTTCTGATCACTGATCGTTCCTATGACAGCTATATAATATGCATAGCAAACAGATTTTGATAATACTTTAGAATATCATGAGACACTAAAAATAAGTTAGAAATATCAAATTAGCTTACGATATCGATTGTAACATCTAAATGTAATTAACTAATATATTATTGATTTACTCAACTCTTGCAGAGAAACTTGCGTTGGAGCTTCTGAAGAACAAGACGCTTATTGAACAGTTGGTGCATTGGAGTAAATCGTCGGACTATGCGGGTGTGACTGGAGAATCATTGCGTCTGATGGCCTGGCTGATCAAACACGCCTATCTTAATAAGATTGCGTATGCGCTGCCACGAAAGGGTGATGCGCCCGCAGAGCAAATAGCGGACAAAATACCACTTACCCAGGACTACGATCGCAGCAGTCTGACTCAGTTTCTGAGCAACGAAGGGACGGTCGAGGCCATGGTCAGCATGCTCACAGCCCAGCATCTGGTGATGCAGAACGAGGCGCTGATTGCCTTGTGCATATTGGCTGTGGTCTACTTGTCCCAGCAGAACGAGGCGGTGGTCGCTCAGGCACAGCGGCTGCAAGACGACCTCATTAAGTGCGAAGTGGGCAAGAGGTTGGCGGAGCTAATTAGCAAATCATCGGACTCGATGACTAAGGAAATTGTGGAGAATTTGCAGAATTGTGTGAATCTATTGAAGACATCTGATAAGTTGGTGGCACACTTGGAGCAGCATAATATTAACGAGCTGCTGAAATCGATACCGATTTTGACGGAATATTGTACGTTGTAAAGCATGGACAGTTGGAATGAGTTGGAATGTGATGGGGATGGGATAGAAAGGGTCAGTTAAAAAGTTTGGGAGTCGAATTAACGTTTATAGACGCATTGCATTTATTTAATTTACGCTGGCAAGAACTAACCCTGTAACCACCAAAAGATGCCTATTGCTGCACAGATACACACACACACACACATACATACATAAACACATACACACAAACATACATAGGAAGCTCAAAACGCTTGAGTTCATTTGTAGTTTCCACCTTAGAGCAACGATCCGATTTAGACTTGAATGATAGATTTGTAAGTTCAAAGCGATGTTGCAGCAAGCAACGTAACAAAAAACAACACGATGTATTTTTTAGACGCGAGCGTATTTTTACTGCATTTACGATAAACGTAAACATAATTAAATATATTTATATATATATATAGTAATCTAGCATATATAACTCTTCTTTGTTGAATGATTTTTAAGAGCACAATAAAAACAAATCGTGGTGATATCGATAAATATTAAAGAATTATATTGTATTTATTGATTTAATTTTAATTTCAAAAATTTAATTACTCTTGCTGGCACACACCAAAAAACAAAAAACAAGAACGAAAAGGAAAGAAACACATTTTGCACGCACAATGTATGTATGTAATTTTAGCTAAATATTTAAGTATTAATCGTAAATATTTTGAAATTAAATTCAACTCACCGAGGTTCATTAATGCAAATGAAATGATTTTTAATGTTTAAAACTAAGGAAAGTTTATGATTCTGTGGGATTTACTTTAAATTTACAATTAAGCCACTTTTAACATTTTTGCATTAGTAATGAAACAAACACAGCAACTCCGTAACAATCAGAAAAAATAAATAGTCAAAACATAACTAAAATGCATATTTACAAGCATAGCAGCATATTGCATTTTGAGCAAAGTTAAACACAGTTTAAAAATAAAATATAGTCAACAGTCTTTGCATAAATCTAATATTTTGTGGTCTGCAAACGAGAAAAAAAATCTTTACTTAAATCTGAAGCACATTAAAATTTAAGCACAATTTAAGGAAATCTTTATATAAACCGTTGAAATACACAGATCTTTATAAATATAACAATGTACATTAATAATTCAAATACAATTTGAAATCAATGCGAAATAAATCTATATACATATATAAAAAATCAGTTTGTTTACATTCAAACCTCCATTATAACCATATTTATAATTTCAATATATTCAAAAATTGCGCCAATTCGTATTGTTGTTTGCCAGCACTGGCAAGTGAAATTATTCAGGACTAGGTGGCAACCTTCGAAAAGGCACACAGCTGGAACAAAATTAATTGTTTAGTTGTTGCGCATGAGACTTCGTCATTCCATTAATATTTCGATTTCACTTTCAAAATGCATATTTCCGCGTTTAATATTCTGAATTAGCTGCACATAGCAACAGGTAAATCCCAAGTTTTCTCTCGGCGTACACTCAGCAAGCACACGAGTAAAATTTTGAGCACAAATCGAAACGGGTAAACAATTGTGTTTCGTAAACAAAAAATACAATGACAACCTGTGAAGGCGATACAGAGCGCGACGACGCTGTTGACCAAAATAGACCGATGCGGGTGACTATCGTGGCCAAAACGTACAACTATCACTTGCACGAAGACGTGCACCTCGCACTGCCCCCACCAGCTACAGATGGGGAGACTCTCTATACACGAGGATGCTTTAGTTACTTCCACTACGGGTGTGATGGGACGCAGGATGCGGGCTGGGGATGTGGCTATCGAACGCTGCAGTCGGCTATATCGTGGATTATAAATAAGCGTGGCACCGCCAACGGGGAGCCTGATCATTTTGTGCCATCAATTAAGGAAATACAACAGATGCTGGTGAGCATTGGTGACAAATCTGCGCCCTTTGTGGGATCTAAGGAATGGATTGGTACACTGGAGGAATTCTATGTTATTGACGTCATGTTTGAGTTGCCCTGCAAAATTCTGCACTCCCAGCAAATGGGCGTGGATCAACTTGTGGAGCAGATACGTAAATATTTCGAAGAATATGGCGGATTTATCACTATGGGCGGCATGAGCGACACAGCCTCAAAGGGAATTGCGGGCATACATCAGGGTCCGCGCGGAATTTTTCTGCTAATTGTGGTGCGTAGTGACCTTTTGCACCGTCAATTAAGCCTAATTGAGGTTTGACGAGTTTGTTTTTCTTCTTTTATTATAGGATCCGCACTATGTTGGGGTACCCGCCTCGAAACAACAGATAATCAATCAGGGCTTTGTCCGTTGGATGCACATAAACGAATTTCAAACGAGTAGTTACAATCTGTGTCTTATACTGCAGCGCTGAAATCCGCATGAATTGTACAATTTATAAATAAATTGACTAGCGATTGCGATATCGATTTTATACCAATTGAAAACACACACTATAGCACGTTGAATACTGCTTTATACTTTACCATGTGTGGAAAATAAAAAATGTTTCTCTTCTCTTTCAGCGTGCATGTTCAATTGTGCCAAACCAATGGAAATAATTGCTCAGTCGGTCGCTGCCCGTACAACCAACAGTAGGCATTTGGCCGTAACCGAAACGAGCTGATAACACGAAAGCCTAACGTAACCGCTTCGAAAAACGATGGCGTTGATAAACTTGTGGTTTTGGTGAATTGGACCAACGACCTTGACTGTGTGCCAAACACCGGGCCACTCACTGACAACGATAAAGACAATTACAAATTTCACATACATCAGAAGCGACAACGTTATCAACACCTGAACAATAAATAACATGGAATTGCTGCACCGGACAATTTTGACCACGTTGGGTGCGCTCTCGCTCATCTATGTGCTGATCAAGTTCAGTCTGGGTTATTGGAAAAGACGCGGCATACTGCACGAGAAGCCAAAGTTTCTGTGGGGCAACATCAAGGGCGTTCTGCCTGGCAAGCGGCATATGTATGAAGCTCTGCAATTCATTTACGACAACTACAAGGAACGGGCCCCCTTTGTTGGTTTCTATGCCTGCATAAAACCCTTTGTTTTCGTGCTGGACTTGGATCTGGTGCGGCACATACTAGTCACAGATGCCGGCCATTTCACAACGCGTGGTCTATACCATAATGTAAACAATGAGCCGCTTTCGGGTAATCTGCTGCAGCTTGATGGACACAAATGGCGGGCACTTCATGCACAGACCAAAGGTGTCTTTACTCCTTCGAATATGCAAAAATTACTGCCACAACTGCTGCAAGTGCAGGCCGAGTTCCAAAACACGCTGGCGACGAAAGTGAAGGAGCGCCAAACCATAAATATAAGCGAACTGGTCGACAACTATAACACCGACGTAATATCTTCGTTAGCTTTTGGTCTCAGCGGAAACTCCCTACAATTTCCACAGACGGAATTTCATCAAATGACACGCAACTATTGGAACAATTTTAAATTGTGGAAGGCCTATTTATCGCTGGAGTTTCCCACGCTGGCCCGTCTGCTGCAACACAAAAGCTATGATGAGTGTGCCAGCGAGTATTTTCAGAAGCTGGTCCACACACAACTGCAACAGCAGCGGAACACACAGCGCCGAGATGGCGAACAATTGTTTAACTTTCTGCAATTTTTTTCTGCCACAGAGCGACCGCTCAGTGATGTTCAAATTGCAGCGCAGGCTTTCGGGTTCATTTTGGCCGGCATGGTGCCACTTAATGCCACGTTAAGTTTTTGCCTCTACGAGCTGGCGTTAAAACCAGAATTGCAGGAACGCACTAGATTGGAAATAAATAAGGTTCTGCAACAGCATAATGGATTAACGGCGGAATCTTTACGCGAGCTAAAGTATACGAAGCAAGTATTAAACGGTAAGTCTAGAGGCTAGGACTATTTGAAACATAAAATAAAGAATAAAACTGTTATTTCAATTGAGTCCTTGACCCGAAACTCTTTTTTAAATTATAAGTCTTATTAAAAAGTATATAATTTAAACAATTATGTTTACAGAGACGCTTCGTCTACACACACCGTATCCGTTCCTCTTGCGTCGCACCACCAAATCCTTTGAAGTGCCCAAGTCGGTGTTCGTTATAGCGCATGGCAATAATGTGATCATACCCACGGCAGCCATACATCGTGATGCGTCCATTTATGAAGAGCCACTCCGGTTCGATCCTGCACGCTTTGAAGCTAAGGCAGTGAACGTACGATCTGATATGTCCTTTCTGCCGTTCGGTGCAGGACTTCGAGGCTGTATAGCCCAACAGTTTGCCGAAATGCAACTCCTCGTCGGTCTAGTGGCACTGCTCCAGCATCACAGGTATACACCATGTGCCGACACAGTAATACCCCTGCAATACGACACCCGAAAGTTGCTTTTGGTGCCCAAAACGGACATCAGGTTGATTGTGGAACGAATAGATTCAAAATAATGACGAGTTCTGGAGCTTGAATATGTTATTTCCAACTTCTTATTTGTTGTTTTCGTGTTTACACTTTAAAATTTATATTTGTACGTATATTTTGTTATATTTGTAAGTTAAGTTCTTGTGTGATATGTAAGCCTTCTAATAATTTAGACCATAAACTATGGAACAAAAAATAATTCGCATTGCACTGGACAGCGGTAAAACTTGAACAATAAAAACAGCCGAAGAGATCACAATGTTGTTGTATGTACTGAATATTTTTGTGACCTAAAATTTCTTTGTATTGAATGTTTCGTTTTTACTTAGTCTATAGTATAATATTATAAACAGGAAAGATTTGATTGTTTGTTTATTTGAATTGAAAAAGCTCCGAAACTACTGGACCGATTTAAAGGATTCTTTCACTGTTGGGAAGTTACACCATCCCGGGCTAACATAGACTATATAATATTTGCACAAAAATTAGGGATGTTTACAAAAACGTCAACCTTAAATACATATTAAAGGAATATAATACAATAGTCCCCAGTCAAATAAAAAAACACATATCCTTTGACGCCGTGATAATTTTGAAGACAGTCCATTATCCACAGGAATTTTTTAATTCACGAACCCTTCCGGACAGCCGCCACATGAAATTAAGCTAAAAATCAGAGTTCCAATCATGCTTTTGAAAAATTTAAGCCCTCCGAGCATGTGCAATGGGACGAGGCTGCTTATTAAGGAATTGCAGGACAATTTAATTGATGGAACCATTATCAACGGCCCACAATAAAACAACATGAAATATCGTTTACAGAGAAGCTCTGATTCAATAAAGAATAACAAAAACAAAACTAAAAAGGAACAAAAAATCATTAAAATAATACTATCCAAATGATGTTTACAATTATACTCCTTTCTAGTAACTCTTAGCGAAAAGGAGGATGTATGTGTGTTATAAAATTTATAATTTTTAAAATTTTTGTAAAATACCCATGCGAAGCAGGAGCAGGACGCTAGTACTTAATAAAGGCATATATTTGAGGCAAAGACCCGATATTGAGAAAATCCCAATATGACATCTTCTACATATGTATGTACTTTTCATTCAATGGGTTGGAAAATCTAGATTTTACATGCAAATAAGTTAACTGTTGTACTATGCTATGAGAAAATCTGTTGGTAATGAAATAAATATTACAAAAACACGACTTTCAAATTTAAGCTAGATATACCATACGTGCAAATTTATAAAGTTCCGGTCAGCATGGAAAATATTTACCAAGTACTTTACAAAATGAAAGTTTTCTCTTTTAACAATTGTCCTACTTAAATAAATTAACGAGTTTAAGTGCAAATTGATAGCCTACATACGCGTACATTAGCCACATATATATTTGTGTAATAATACGCCATTATTTTAGGAAATCTTCGAAAAATTACATATGCTTATTCTATGGGTTTTTAATTCATCAATTGCGGGCTATTGAGATTGATCGTGGACTTATTGGTCATCAAAAAGCTGCTCCGACAGAACTGGCTCGTACTTGCATAAATTGCAGCCCTGCTTGATTGGCAGCACTGTGAATACCAGTTGGCAACGCTGCAGTTTTGTATCTGCTTGATTTTGTAGCGCTGCCACTAGTAGTTTTGATGCGCCAGAACGAAGCGGACACGGATTCGCGGCAAATGCATTTTTATTTCGGTTCTTTTTTGTCTGTAAGAGGTGTGAGCGGCGCGTCTAATTGATTTAAAATACGAATATGCAAAACGCTTGAAGTAGTAGCTTTAAAGCAAAACGAGAATGGTGTAGAAAAATTAAAAGCAAAACGAACAAATAACAGTTAAATGAGGAACGACGGGCACGGGCTCCACTTAACTGTTGTTTAGTCGAAAAGCGGTGCCAAAAAGGTGGAAAAAATTAAAGGCAAAAGTGTATAAGAAACCACGAAAAAATGTGCAGTTGTGTTAAAAGTTAAATTGAATATTTATATGAAATTTTCAAAATCAAACAAAAATTACGCCTCTGTCTGCTGCTTGCGAGCGTTTTGATAGAATAGTGTTTGTGCTGTGTGTATAAATTGTGTCTACAACAACAGCAGCAACAACAAAATCATCATAGAGCTTGTGTGTGCCGTTTGCAAGGATCGCGGCCGCCGTCAGGGTAGTTTGTTTGAATAAAGCCCATCTACACACAAACACACACACACTCGCATACACACACGGCATACGCACAGTTGTGTCTGACTGGAGAGCGCTCTTTTGTGCGCTTTTGCCGCCTGGAATGCGCTGCTGCAGCAACAGAAAAAGCAACAACAACGACAGCCCAACAACCGCGACGGGCACGTAGTGCACACAAACGCACACAAATACAAACACACCGCATCGTGGGTAGAAGAAGGGGAGGAAACGCTTAATTGTTTGCAACGTCCCAAAAATCAAACAAACGAGTGCATATATTTTTCCCACTTGGATTCTGGGTGCGTGTTTGTGACTGCGTTTCTCATCGCCAATTGCAGCTGCAGCATCGACGGTTGCTTTCTGGACTTTGGGAACAAAAACAGACCTTGCGCCGCACGACGCCCATTGAAAGTGCATTGTAAGTATCCTTCAAGTGTGCTTGCTTTTTGTTTTTATATTCTTTGTTATGGGCTCTTGTCTCAGTTTATCTCAAGCAGTCAGTCAAATGTTCCCGCACCCAGGCCCCCCTTTAATTTCAAGTGCGCTAATTACGAAAGATGATTTGGAAAATTTAATTAGGTTGCGCTGCTGCCTTAATGAACTCGCGTCTGTATTGCTGATTTGCATATGCTTTCGTCGAACCCTTTATTCTGATGAAATAATTGGGGGCGGGTCTTAATCCCCTCCCACGCCACTCTCTTTACGCCAATTTGTTGGCATTTGTACTATACATGCAACATCCAACAGCCACAATAGCCAAAACAACAAAAACAACGACAACAACAAGTCTGCAGCAGACGAAAACACACAGCTTCCAGGTTCACACACACACACACACACACACACACACACACACACATATGCGCGTACACAATCACACAGCTGCCAACTTGTATTCAAGGCCTTCCAGTGGTAATTCCAGTCAGTCATGAAAACTCCTTTCATTGTCAGCAGCCAAACGAGCACACATTACTCCCTTTTTCAAAGTTGTCGCGCGCTATATGCGCAAGTGCAAGGACTCGGCCTCTACCTTAGCCTCTGGCACTGACTTCGTCTGCTTCTCGTATCGCTTCTGCTCGTGTTCCCTCTACTACTGAGTTTCCAATTAATCACATTCCAAATCTGCAAGACCTTGCACCTTAAAAATATTTATCATTTATTATTTTTAATATTTTATACCTAAAATTATTTGTGAAAATTTGGGCAACAACTTTTTCCCTTAAAAGTAAAAATGAGACTTTAATGGCGGCTTGTTGTTATTTATACAAACAATTTGGTCTTTTCTTGTTTTTATTATTTCACAAGTAGGCATATGCCTATTAGGCTTCTCTAGGGGGACCTTAGGGCGTAAGAGCAACAAGCAAATGTCACACAGCATTCAAGTTCAGTTTCCTTTCCGGCAGCTGCTGGCAGCTGTGCCAAGGGTTCATTGACATTTGCCTAAAAGATTCAATAAGTCACAGTATATGTATATAAATCCATAGCCAATCAGTCCTACAATGCTCCACGTGCCCAGTCTTTCTATTTGTCGCTTTTCTTCAATTTTCTTGTATACCTTTGGGGGTTACACACCCACCCACACCCACACACACGCAACGAATTATGATATGGGGTTGTTTATTATTTCATGCAATACCTGAAAATGCCTTTTTATGTCTCTATGTTGTAACTAGAGTAGCGCGTTTCCAGACAGTATGTATAGTATGTATGTACTCGTATACCTCTACTAAGTATATGTGTGTGTTGTTTAATTAGAAATTCAGTTTGTTGCGCCCCAATTGCTGTTGGTGTTGTTGTTGCTGTTATTGTCGTGCCCTTATCGCGCATTTGTTTAAAATTTCATTACAGCCGTTTGTGTGGGTTTGTTCGTTGTCTTCGCATACCTTTCAAACGACTTTGCTCGACGCTGGCTGATAAGGACAGAGCTGAAAAAATAAGTACATTAAGTATCATGTATTATTTGCAATTTCGTTCAGTAATCTTCACAAATATTAATAATAATAATAATGAACAGGTCGGTGGCGTCTCCAAAGTCGTTGGTATTTAACAATGATAAGCGACATTTCGGCCTTCTACAGATTGTCCCCAGCTTTCTTATTCTGCTTTTTTATTAATTCAGTACAAATCCTAAATATAAACATTTTTTTATTCTGGTACTAATGTTTTTTTCAGTCTTTTGCGTGCTATTAAGAAGCACTTTCTTTATTTTAATACTAATCCCAAACAGGTACATTATTATTATGTCGCTTAGATTTATTAGTGCGTTTAAAGCAGGTAAACGAAATTACAAGCTATGTTGTTTCGTTCGACAAGAATAATATATTATAAATTTAGCTTGTTGTTGGGCAGATCTGCGAATAAACAGTCTTTTTAATTGGACTTGGCTAGCAGAAAAAAGAAAATACATAGCTTAACTGAATTGATTCTTATTTTTAAAGAACTTTTCTTTGCTCAGATTTCTTCACTTACTTACGCCCGAGTTGGATTTAAAAGAGATTGGCAAACATATTTTTGCGGTATGCTATAAACTTCTAGTTTTCTGGGGTTATATGCAAATTTCGTATGCCAAGGAAATGTTTGTTGCTGTTGTCTATCCACATAACATTGTGCACCTGAGAAAGGAATTTTCAAGTGAAATAATCCCTAAAAATGTGTAAGCTTAGCAAATTTTGTTTCTCATTTTCAGGCTAGCTCTACATGTCATAATCCAACTTTTTTGACGTTTCCTTCAATTCGCCCAAATGCCTCTCTTAACCAACACAGAACATTTCTGGCCACATGCCGCACCTGTTTCTAAAAAAAATAACTAAAAAGAAATACAGAAATAGTAGATTGCTTATGTGGCTTCTACTCTGGCCAAGCCGTCCTGTTGGTTTGAGTGCCGCCCGCTCGGCTTTTCTGCGCTTGAATCAACAGAGCAACTTGCTTCTTAATAAAAAGCAAACAGACCCGCATGAATGTTTAAATATCTTTAGAGAAAGCAACAACAGAACCAGCCACTGCATGCATTATTGTTGTTATACATTTCTCAAAAAGCAACAAAAACAACATCAACTATTGTTCAAGAGCCTACGGCTAATGGAAAGGAAGGGAGGAAGCCAAGCAAAACAACATTTACGCAAATTTCGCATTCTGTCTGTATATGGTTGTGTAACTTTGTGCTTGCCGTGTAATTTTTAATTATGCCCCATTCATACCTACCTAACTGCTTACATATGTATATACGCATCTACATATATTTACAGGCACTGTAATATGTGCACCATCGTTAGAATACTTGAAATGTATTTGTTAAATGCAGAAGTCTATTTCTTTAAAATGTACAATTATATTATGAATTAATAATCAGGATTTAAAGAGAAGTGCGCATGTAGCTGTGTGTTGGTCTATAATGGTGGGCAGGTGGAGTGTTCTTTGTAATATTTTGTACAAGAGACTATTGTGCAAAAGAAATAATATCGCCATGTTGTTTGCACTATAGACTATTCAGACTATTCTATATGGAGGGGTAATTGGCTAGAAATGTATTTTCTGGACTTGCTTAGCAGTTTAACAGTAGGATTTATATTCATTACTGACAGTTTTGATAGGCGGTCTATTTGAAAAGTTTAGACTGGTCGTCAGCTAAAAAAATTATATCTAAAATGTATGGGCCATCGATTTATGAATTGTGTGTGTTCGAATAACAAGATTCTTATATTAAAAGTTACTGTAGCTATTCAAGTGGTTGTCAGTGTATGCAAAATGCAGACTGAGGCGCCCGTTTTTTGGGCAATCAAGGAATGCCAAGTGGTTATAAGTATGTATGCTACAGAGAGTTAGCGGCGCAACTTGGCCGAATGGTACGCCTACGCGTCATGGTAAGCGGGGAGTGGCAGAGCGGACGAACGGACCTGCATTGGATAAACAGAAACAGCTGGCTATAAGCAAACTTTTGGCTGTCTGCCTATCGTACGGCTATGGCCTCTTTAAGCTAACTATGTATGTATGTAGTACTTACATATGTCAGTATGTATGAATGGTTGCGTTTGTTTTGCAGTTTTCTGGCTGCAGTTTTCAATCAACGCACCCTGTTGTTATTTCTACTGCTGCTGCTGTTGTTGTAGTTGTTGATGTTAATGTTATTGTTCGCTGACACCCACTTACAAAACATTTTCATTTTCATTTTCACTGTTGCCATTGCTGGCTGGCTGCATGGGTGTCGCTGTAAGAAATATGAATGAATTCATGAATACAAGTATAAGACGCTACAAGCAAAGCGAATGGCAACAAAGATAGCCTATTTAAATACTACATATGTGTGTATGTGTGCATGTGTGTGTATGTGTGTGTGCTCTCACCCACGCACATTTGAGTTCCTTTAGCATTTTATCTGCTTGCTCTTTAATGTCTTGGGGTCTAACAACTTTCGTTTATTCGATTGCCAGCTGGCCTCCTATCCCATGTTGTCCTCCCCAATTAATATAATGAAGGCTTATTCAATCTAGCACTCTTGCGTGCTCAAAACGAATCAAGCTCATTAAAAAACGAAAAGTTTCCCATTTTCTAGCGCTCTGCTTTTCTTCACATTTTATCGCCCGCCTTGTGAAATGTCATAAGTTCAGCAATGCGTTGGTTTAATGGATTTTGTCGCCTGTGTTTGCTTTTTATCAGCAAGTAGTCGCGGCGTTTCTTTTTAATGCGAACATTATAATTATTCTGCTCGTCGCTGTTTTCATTTGGGCCTTAAAGAAGATACGGACAAAGTGCTTTTTAAAATTAGCACTAAGTAGACCCTCGAACACACTTATGTATGCATACATACATATATCTACATATATATATATACATTTGTCATAGTAATTATTGTCATGACAGCAAATTAGCAAGCGAAATAATGGGCCATGTTCACTTTTAGAAGGCAAAGGCAACAAAAGCGTTGAAAGCTTTCCAAAACAAGCGAATGCTATAAGAAAACCACGACAACAACAGCAACACAGTGGAAATTGACATGTTCAGTTACACGCACACATACACACATATGTATTTATCTACACACATAGAGTTGCAGTTGCACAAGAAAAAATCTTGGCTAGAACAACATCAGCCAGCATATAGAAACCGGAACGCTTGGGGCAGACTCAAGCGAGTGAAAATAACAACAAACATGGTGAATATGTATAACACTTATGTCTACGTATGTGTGTGTGTGTTTGTGTGCGTGTTGTAACGGTTCTTTTGTTTATCATTAATATTGTTCATATGCATATATACACATATGTATATATATATAGTATGTACATATGTCTTAAGCAATCTCTTGTGCTACAAATACTAACATAATTTTAATTTATCTTGCGTTTTAAATGAGTGCATTCATTTGGAATTAGCTGCTCAATGCGATGATTAATTTAAGTTAGTTTTGTTTCGGTTCTTCAA